GTCTGCTTGCCCAGCCTGTTTTGCACTGTCTTCTTCCTGATCGCGGCGAGCGGCGGGGCCTTCGTCTACTCCTCGTACGGCTCCGGTTCCAGCGGCGTTGCGTTTCTCCCCTCTGGCGCGGTGACGGCAACCTCTCCGACGGCAACCTCTCCCGTCCGTGACACGCTCTTTGCTCCGTTTGACTCCGAATCGCAACGGGTCTTTGCTCCGTTTGACTCCGAATCGCAACGGGGGCTCGGCCTAGACCTGCCTCTTCAAACGCTAACGGCGGCGTCAGCTCGCCCCCGCCCCTACGCCGACCGTCCGCTGCCAACACACCGCGTCTCGGACGAGGACGCGATCGCCATGCGCGAAGTCATCGCACATTACTTTAAGGACATCGACGAGAGCAAGGACGTTTTCAACCAACAGGGCGAGCTCAAGCCATCGTGGGAAATGTGCGGCGAGATCGACTTCTCTGGAAATGTCAGTGGCACCACGGGAGCGGATGCCACACTGAAGGCGCTTGGAGTGCAGGAATGCTTCGATGGCCCTTCATCCGCGTGCCAGAGTTCGGCCGGGCGCCCTTGTCAGGCCGTCTGTGCCTTCATGAGCGCCTTCCACGAGCTTATCAAAAGGTTCCCAGCCGGACCCGCATTTGCGAAGCACGCTGTTGTTGGCGAAGCTATCAGCCGGAAATACTCGTCGTGGCGCAAAGGGGGCGTAGTCGCAACGCGGGCCAACGAAACATACAGGGGCAGTGCGAGCTTTCAGGACCTGGGAAAACCGTATTTCTACAATGCCGTGTCTGGCTGGGCGATGTGCGACATTGCGCGCACCGTGCTGCAGCAGAATGCAAACCAGGTACTTCGCGGCACATGCGTGCCCACGGCGATGTTGTCTGCCCTGTCTGGCAGCGCGCCAGTGCACGCACTGCGAAAGGCCACTGAGCTCTTTTGGACTGGTCGCATGACGACCACTTTTGAGGGCAAGCCCCGCGAGCTCAAGCCGTGCGACTATGTTTACGATCAGGTCCCAGGCATGGTGCCGCGCACCCATCGCGGCCTCGAGTGGTACTGGACGGCAACGCTCGGCCAAGCAGTGGTACTCCTGGGTTTCGAGGAAGATTTCAAATTTCAGGAGCTTATTTGGAGCACTTGGAGTGCAGTGTGCAAAAAGGAAGGTCCGAGCAAATGCGATCCTTCCCAGAATAAAAAGCCGTTGGCCGGCAACTGGTGCGAAGACATGAGTCAAACAACGTACGCGCTGACAGGTCCTTGGGGGGAGGAGTATATCTCGGCAGCCTCATTGCCAACAGAGTACGCGCAACGCGCATTGAACATTGCACGCCGGGCCAAGCCCCCCAGGGCGAACCCTACCAGAAATGAAGTGGCCAAATTGAACGATGGGCCGACCCCAGAAGGTACTCTGCGTTATTGCAAGCTTACCTTCAATGACGTGTGCAACGATGATGAGTTTTGTTGCAAGAAGAAGTACGACCTGCGGGCTCAGTCGTTTGCGGAGCGTGAGAAAAACCTGGAAAAGGCGTGCAGCATCGTGATGCATGGCGGGTTCGTCACCGTGACGATGACATCTTCTTTTTTGATGGACGGGCCGCGATCCAACTCGATTTCCATCAAAGACGCTGCGGTCATCGCTGGAGCGACGGGGCATTGCGAGGTGATTGCGCTCACTCACACTCACACCTAGCCCCGTCTGAGCATGTCTGCGGTGACGCAGGTCCCGCCACTCGCTCCATGGGACAAAGGGGCCTTGAGCCCGCTTGACGCATTCGACAAAGTACCTGAGGGAGCTGATCATGAAATCGCTCTATCAGCTTGCGTTCGAGCCGAAGGCGAGAACGCCACCACTTACGTGAGCGCTGCGACGCCTCTGTCTGTGCCCCTCTTCATATATGTAAGCACCAGCGTTCCGCGCGCTGCAGGTGTTCACGACGTGGGGCTACAAGATCCGGATGAGCAAGGCGTTCGCGATTGGCACTGCTGACAGCGACCGTCATGTCGGCGTACTCGATGGATTTTCTGGTGCAACCCGCCTCGCGGCACAACCCAAAGGCCAAAAGAACAACCCGCCGGCCATCGCTCGTTGCAAGACCATCTCGTCACGCCAATACCATCCCCCCCCGCCTCCGCCTCCGCCCCCCTCGCCCCTGCCCCCACTGCCGCCCCCGTCCCCACCGCCGCCCCCGTCCCCGCCCCCGCCACCAAGCGCCCCTCGCAAGTGCGTTCCGGATTGTATGGACGTCTGGAGCAAAATTCCAGGATGGGACTGGCCGACAATTTGTAAGATAAATCTTGGGGATTGTGGCGCGTGCGCCAGTTGCCAGTGCCAGACGATTTGTACGGAGGCCATCAATTCGCCTTCGTATGACTGGCCGAAAGTTTGTGAGGAATTACCTGGGTCATGTGGCGGATGCGCCAGTTGCCTCACGCCCCCATCGCGCCAGTTGCCCTCGCCTTCGCCCCCCTCGCCTTCGCCACCCTCGCCTTCGCCACCCTCGCCTCCGGCCTCTCCGCCCCCGTGCTTCTCTATTTGTATGGACTTACTTGAGGCCAACCAATCGTACTCCTTGGTCTGTGGGACCTACTCCGGCATCTGTTCGGGTTGCGCCATTTGCCTCTGAGGCAATTGCGCTGCTCATCCAGGACGAATGCTAGTGCAACGCGAGCACAACCAAGCAAGGCGCGCAGATGTAACTTGCAGATCGATCACCCGACCATCCCTGCATGTGCGCGGGCCTTGATCCGGTGCCGCTGACGAAAGACGCTTGTCGGCACTGGGCCAATCCTTGAGTGAACGCTGAACACTGACTGGCGTGAGGGGGTGGGTACCTGGTGAGGAATTAGGAGTCTCTGATTGTGGCATACTAGTCTAGCGTGCGTGCAGCGGTGGCTCGGCGCGTAAGCGCTCTCGAGCCACGGCCTGTGGCCGGCCCGTTTCTGGCACGGGGCCCGCAGCGCTGTCAGCCTACGTCTCTTTTTGCCGTCGCCCTTGCTGCATTTATTTTTGTATAGTTGTAATTCTTCGCGACCTCGTCCCCCTCCTTGGACTCGTCCACCTAGCCGACCCGGGCTGACACTTGCGGCCGGATGTGGCGCGCAAGGAACGTGTGCGCGAGAGGGACGGACGGCCAGCGCTCATGTTGACATTTAGTTTGCGCGGCGTTGCCGTGAGCACTGATCATGCGCTCGCTTCCCTAGACAGGGCAGACCATCTGCCGCTGCTCCTCCGCCGCCCTTTTGGCCTGCTCCGCCCGCGGCCTGCTCCTCCTCGCGCTGCTCCCCATCGCTCCCCGACGCCGCTCCTGCTGTCTTCTTTCGGCATTCTTCTTGGCCGCCTCTTGCAAGGAAGAGATTGTCCTGGACGCCTCCTCCTCCACCAGGAGCTCTGCCGCCAGCCGCTGGCCGCCGCTCCGCGTCGGCCGCGAGGCTCCTCCACCGCCAGCGACGCCGCTGCCGCCGCCGCAGCCCGCTCGTGCTCCTCCTTGCTGCGCGGCGAGCTCTTTCTTCTGCAGTCTTGCTGAGATCCAAGGCCGTTCACTTCAGCGACATCGTCCACCGGCGCACGTCCGGCGGCGCCTCCCCCGACGCCGCGCTGGCGGCCAGGCGGACGCGCCCGGTGCTAGGAAGAGGAGGAGGGCGACTCTTTGCATCCGTCGGGGCGCGCAGTCAGTCAGCGGAGTGCACTTCAACTTGGGATTCTTCTTCTTCCTGTGTTATTAGTGCGAGTGCGCGACAATCCCGTGACCAGTCGTTGCACTCCAATTTCTCGTTTCTGGACGATGCGATCCGGTGCCCTCGCGATCGCGCTTCTCTGCGTCTCGCCGGGCGCGAGCCTAACCCTCAGCAGACAGCCTCTCGTCTCCCGCCCGCACCATACCTTGGCTCAGCCGCGCTGCTCCGAGCCGGTGGCGACGGAGCGGCGCGAGGAGCACGCGGCACCAGCACGTGAGGATACAGTCCAGGAGCGGCTGCGCCTCTTCTGGCGGCTGGCCGTGCCCTACTTTGAGAACGCGGAGGGCGCGAAGCTGAACTTTGGTCTCATGCTGCTCCTCGTCCTCATCAACAGCGGCATCTCGGTCATCTTTTCGTACGTCGGCCGCGACTTCTACTCGGCGCTCTCAGCAAAGGTCGAGTTAGGTCGACTTTTTTTTGAATGCAAACTAAATTTAACTAAATTAAACTAAAGCTGGGGGTCGTTGATCAGATGCCGCTCGTCGAATGGCTCGTACAGCACCACCGCGGGCACGGAGCGGCGATTGAGCTGGTCAGCGCCGCAAGCGAATTGCTCGCGCTTCGTTCGCGGGATCGGCGGCATCGGCGGGCTGCTGCTACGCGTTTGACGTGACCGCGGCGGCGGAGGCGGAGGCGGAGGCGGAAGCTGAAGCTAAAGGGGTGGCTGAAGCGAGTGTCATCGAGGCGGAGGTGGGACCCGACGCCCCTCGCCCCGAACCGTTGGCAGGAGCGGCGCCTGTTGGGCTCCGCGTCCCTCGCCCCGTCCCGCTAACGTCTACGCTGAACCCGAAGGCGATGCCCTTCGTTCCGCGGGAAACGGGCTACTGAAGCTTGCGTGTCACGAGCCACGACGCGGCCGGGTTCCGACTTTGGGGGGGGAAGGGTAGGGCACGGGTTCTCCGCAAAATTCCGGGCATTTTGCCGATTCCTTGGCCTAAAATTTGACCTAAATTTGAGCCCAAACCAGCCTCAGACGCGACAAACACAAACTCTCAGACTCGGCTCAGAGCCCAATAATTGACGATTTCCAAGGAATTTTCCCGGGAAACTAGAGAAAACGAAGGGTCTTGTAGAGAAAAAAGGAAAGGAAAACAGACGTGGTGGGTGGTGCGAGAGGCAAACCTCAGACAGCCCAACCTGGGGAGCCGGGCAAAGTAATTAAGCAGTCGTGTACGTGACGTGTGGTGCCGTGTCCGTGTCCACTAGCTCCGAGTAGAGGGGGCTTCTGCAGTTAACGGGAAACCTGCGGCATTTTTCTTTTTTAAGATGGAGTCCTGGGCGATGCGCGTCACCGTTCAGCGCCGCCTCGGGCTCCCCCTCGATGTCGCCTGCCAGGCGGCGGAGGCAGGCAAGAGGGCACCCAACGGCCAGCTGCACGACATCCTCGGCGACGCCGCGATGGTTAACCCTCAGTTAAAGCATGCTACAAGACACAAATTCCTACTCAAACGACTGGTCAAGACCCTCCGCTCGGCGTGGGGCATGATCATCGAGATGGAGCCGACTGCACACCTCAGTTACAGTAACCCCAAACAACCTGACGTGGCGGCGGCAAACATCGGCAGGGGGCACAGGCGCCTTGTTGCCGATTTGAAGCTCACGAGCTCGCTTGCGAGCAAGGGCAAGGACGCGGCCGGCGACGGAGAGCTCGGCTGGAAGGGGGCGTATGTTCGCTTCGGCAATACGGAGCCCGGGCTGCTGAATCTGGTCGGTCAAAGGGCGCGGCAAGTACTCGCCGTCGGGAGCGACGGCAGCGGCGGTGGCGGAGGAGGAGGAGGAGGAGGAGGAGGCGGAGGTGGAGGAGGTAGGGGAGGGGGAGGATGCGGATGCCCCCAAGGGAAAGCTCAAGGAGCTGGATGGCGATTACCGCTTTGCGCAGGAGCAGGATTGCGATCTGCGCTTGTTCGACTTCGAGAGCTTCGGAGGCTTTGGAAAGGAGGTTCGCAGCACCCTGAGGGAGGCGGCGAACCAGCTGAGCAACAAACTTTCGCATGCTCAGCACCTCGATGAGGTCACATGGACAACCAAGAACTGGCACGGCCTCGCTGCGCGTCGCCCGCCACCGCCGCCTTGGAGATCTGCTGCGTGTGGTGGACGACGAAGGAGGAGGCGCTCTCGCCGACGCCGCCCCGTACATACATACACCGTCCGGTCCGTGTTGGTGCGAGCACCAGCCGCGTTATGGGCTTTCTTGGCCCACTTCGCGTCGTAGTACTGCGCCCCCATCCACTTCCAGCCCGTATCCGTCTTGACCCACCCCTTTCCATACGCGTGGTCTTTGACCCATAGAGAGAGAGGGAGGGGAGAGAGAGAGAAGAGAGATAGAGAGAAGAAATGCAGAAAACGCTTAGTCCCTAGTCAACCACGGCGGCGTGTCGCGCTCGCGTGCGTGCGGCAAGAGGCTGCGATGCGTTCGCGCGTCGCCGCCGACAGCTTTGTGTCCGCTTCTTACTTGCGCGACCAGCTCCTCCTCGCGTCGCGCTCGAGCGAGAACCTCGTGGACGGCTGTGTCGGCGGCTTCTCCCGCACGTCGTCGCTGGCCGACCTGGCGTACGTCGCCGTGCCGGGTCTGACACAGCGCGTTGTGCACAACCGATCGGTGGTGTCGCTGGCCAACCTGTCCGACAACTTTTCCGAGATACCGGCGCACGAGTCTCCGGTCGTCCTCACCGGCGGCTCCTCTCGCCCGCTCGCCGGCGCGGCTGCCGTCGCCATGCTCTCGACGCTCATGTGCGGGTACAGCCTCGGGAGCATGAACACGCTAGCCAAGCCGCTGCGCGCCGCGCTGGGAATCCCTCCCGCAGCGCTCACGCCTGAGGGCGTCGCCATCCCGCTGCCGTCCAACGACCTTCTCTGGTCGCTTATCGTGTCCATCTTTATGCTTGGCGCGCTGCTGGGCTGCAACGCCACGACGGCGCTCACGGACCGTTGGGGCCGCAAGACGTACCTGCTCTGGGTCACCGCCGTCTTCTTCGTCGGCGCCCTCCTCGAGGCAGCGAGCGCGCTGCCCGAGTGCGCCGTCGCCGGCGGGTGGCTGGTCTGCTTCGACCGCGTGCTGCTGCTGCTGCTGGGCCGGCTCGTGTCCGGCATCGCGTGCGGCGGTGCCGCGGTGGTAGTCCCGCTCTACCTCGGCGAGGTCTCCCCCGCCCACCTGCGAGGCGCGCTCGGAACCGCAAACCAGCTCGCCCTCGGCCTGGGGATGCTCGCCGCCCAGCTGCTCGGGCTACCGGCCGGACTCGGCACTCTGCAGGGCTGGCCCGTCCTGCTCGGCCTGCCCGCGCTGCCCGCGCTGCTGCAGCTCCTCTTCCAGCCCCTCCTGCTCGAGTCGCCGCGGTGGTACGTCGTCATGGGCGCGCTGCGCTGCCCGCGCCGCCCCACCCACCCCCGCCCCCGCCCGCCCCTCTTTGGTGGGCTCATCCCCTCTGCGCGCCCGCCGCTGCCGTGAGCAGGCAACGACATCATGGCGGAGGAGATGCTGGTGCCGCCCGGCCCGCCGCCCCGCACATGCACCGCCTTTCCCCGAGGGGAGCCGCGCCTCGCCCCCGCCCGCCCGTGCCCCGCAGGTCCAGCTACGGGACCGCCCTCCCGACGACCTGGAGGTGCAGGAGGAGCTCTACTGCATGCTCGAGGCGGCGCGGCGCGGCCACGACCTGCTCCAGATCCAGCTCGAGCGCTCGCTCACGCGAGCCTCTTCCCACTCCTCGTGCGGCTCCAACCTAGGCGCCCAGTCCCAAGCGATGGGCGCCACCGGCTGCGGCTCGGCCCTCCCGGCCGCGCACATGAGCCTCGACGACGTTGCGCAGCTCCGGGCGCCGCCCATCTGGCAGGTCCCCCCCCCCACACACACACACACCACCACCACCCTCCCTCCCTCCCTCTCCCTCTCCTCTGCCGTGTGGGGACGCGCTGTCCTCGTCGCACCGGCCACCGCGTTTCCCTCTTCGCGTCGCCGCCAGGCGGTGGCAACGCAGCCCGCCGTGCGCCGCGCGCTGCTCATCACAGTCAGCCTCACCGCGCTGCAGCAGCTCTCTGGGGTGGCAAACCTCTTCAACTTCTCCTCCACCTACCTGCTCGCCCGCGGCTTCTCCGACGCCACCTGCGCGAGCGTCGCCGTCGCCGTGCACGCGAGCAACGTCTGCGCCACGCTGCTGACCGCCCTGCTCATGGACTACCTCGGCCGCCGGCGTTTGCTCCTCGCCTCCACGTTCGGCGCAGCCGCCTGCGCCGCACTCCTCACTTTGGCGGCCGCCAGCCCGCTCGAGCCGTGGGCGCCGCCGCTCTGCATCGCGGCGGCAGCCGGTTTCGTCGGGTCGTTTGCGCTCGGCCTCGGCCCCGTCGCATTGCTGCTGCCCGCAGAGGTTTTCCCCGCGGCGTACCGCTCGACGGGCGCCGCGCTCGCCTCCTCGGTGCATTGGACGGCGCAGTTCGCGACGACCTTCGTCTTTTTGCTCCAAGCCGAACGGCTCGGGGCGGCCGCTTTCGTGCCGCACGCTGCCCTGCTGCTCTTCGGGCTCGTTTTCGCGGCCGTCCACGTGCCCGAGACTCGAGGTAAGTCGCTCGACCAGATTGAGAAGGAGCTCTCCCGTTCTTGAGGGTAGAGGGTACGTTTTTTTGGTATCTTTTGAGAGGGCGCCTGAGTGTGGATTGTGGGGGAGGATTGTGTCGATTGTGATCCGAGCTGTCACAGTGTGACGTCAGCTCGACGTGGTGGTGCCTGGTGGAAGCTACCGCCCGGCCGCCCGCAAGCCGCATCGGCGACGGCGTGGCATCGGCGGTATGAAACATGAGGCTGTTATACTAGAAAGCAATAATCCTGGAAGAAAACCGGGTGCGCTCGTCGTGTCTCGCCGCCGTAACGCGCAGACGGCAGAGCAGTCGGAGTCGCCAACGGCGCAAAATCCTACTCTCTCGCTAACCCGCGCCGGGGATCGAGGCGGCCGCGGCCTTCCGGGCCTCCCAGCCCGCTGTCTCAACGGCCTCCGCCTTCTCGAGACAAGCCGCCGCCAACCCTGGCTGGCCCGCGGCCTCGTGCACAAGCGCCAACGCGCGGTGCGCCCTGCTCGCGCTTGCAGGGTCCTGCTCCGGGGCGGTGGTGACCGCTTCAAGCAGCGCCGTCGCCTCGGCCTCCGCCCCCGGCCCTCCTCCCTCCTCCCCGGCGGCGAGGAGCGCGACGGCGAGGTTGACTCGCTCGAGCGGCCGGGCGAAACCGGACGCGTGCGACGCCTCGCATGCCTCGCGGGCGAAGCGGACAGCGGCCGCGCCACCGTCGGGGGTCGCCAGGTGGCGCAAGCAGAGCAGGCCGAGGAGGTCGGCGCGCTCCAAGTGCGAGGTCGCGATCCCGAGGCCCGCCTCGAGGCTGCGCTGCGCCTCGGCGGCGGCCGCGGCGGAGCCGAGCGGAGGGACCGGCTCCTCCCTCGCGCCACGCCCGCCTCCTCCCGGGGGCAGTGCGAGCGCCGCCGTCGTCGTCTCGACGCTCTCTTCGACCGGCGGTGTCGCCGACCCGACGCCGGCGGCGGGGTCACCGAGTAGAGCGAGCGCGAGCGCGCCGGAGAGCCGCGCGTGCGCCGACGAGGAGTGCAGTGCTGCGTCCTCTGCCAGCGCAGCCCGGAGGCCGCGCACGCACTCGGCGCGCGGCCTCGAGCCGTGGCGCGTCGCGGCGAGGAAGAGGTTGTGCGCGTCGTCGCAGGCGGCGCCGCGCAAGCCGTTGATCGACGAGATGGAGTGCGCCTGCCGAGGGGGCGCGTCGCGGCGTCCTTGTCGAGCGGGCCGTGCTTCCAGAGGCCGGACCAGTCTCTAGTGTCTAGGAAGTGTCCAGGCAGTGTCTAGGAAGTGTCTAGGAAGTGTCTGCTCCTTGTCGAGCTTGTCGATGGCAGACGCGACGCGGTCGGGCGCGATGCCGTGCTCGAGCTGGAGGCGCGCGTAGCTCGAGTGCGCCGCCGACAGCGCGCGCGCGTGGCCGAGCGCGTGCGCCGCCGCGAAGGCGCCGCGCAGCGCTTCGCCGGCGGCGGCGACGCGCCGCTGCCCCCGCAGTGACTCCCCGAGCGCCAGCCGGCAGACGGCGAGGCCATGGCTGTCGCCGCTCTCGGCCGCCACGGCAAGGCCCTCCCTCGCCGCCGCCTCCGCCTCTCCCCACCGCCCGTGCCGCGCGAGCAGCGCCTATAGAGGCCGGGCCCCGAGCCTCTGTGCCGGCTGCGGCGACGGCCAGGCCTCCACACAGACGGCCCGGCGGCGCCGAGGAGGTGCCGAGCAGCCGCAGCAGGAGCGCGTCGCTGCGGGTCGAGCGGGCGAGGGAGAGGCCCGCGGCCACATGCTCCTCCGCCTCCACCAGCTGCTCCGTCTCGAGCGCGACGGCGGCAGAGACCAGCGCGAGCGCGCCCTCGAGCCTCGCGTCCTGCCGCGCGGCGTCTTCGGCGGGCAGCCGGCGGCGGCAAGCGGCGATGTAGTCGGCGGCGGCGGCAGCCTCGCCCTCGTCGACGCAGACGAGCGCGAGGCCGAGCAGGGCGCGCCCCTCCCAGTGGCCCGCGTCCCGCCCGAGCGTGCCCGCCTGCGCGCGCGCCTGCTTGAGCATCAGCTCGAGCTGCTGGCGCGAGCGGGAGAGGTCCGAGTGGCAGAGCGCCCGCAGCGCCCGCTCCTCGACGAGGCGGAGGTCGTCGAGGACGAGCTCGAGCTGCGGCTGCGCCTTGAGCCGTGCGCGCACAGCCTCGAGCGCCTCGCGCGGCTCGCGCGCCTTGGGGTCGAGCTTGATGGCTTGCGTCAGCGCGGCCGCCGCAGCCTGCGGCTCGTGCAGCGCGTCGAGGCACTGCCCCAGCCGGAAGTGCGCCTTTGCGGCGGTGCCGCCGCTCTGCTCGATCACCGTCTCCGCCTCACGCCGAGCCGCCTCGTAGCCATGCAACCGCAGCAGGCACGCGCACCTGTTGAGCCGGCACTTGCGCGCCTCCTCGCTCTCGGGCGCGCCAGCGAGCGCGGCGATGGCCGCGGCGTAGCGCTCCTCCGCCTCCGAGTAGCGACCGGACTTGAAGAGCGCGTTGCCCTCGGAGCGAAGGGTGTCCGCCGTAGTCATTGGGGCAGCAATTGCCGCGGCACACTGGTGAAATCTTGAAAAGAAAACATGCGTCCGCCAGGTCTTGGGACTCCGGTCGGCTTCTCTCGAGGTCTCGAGATACCCACAAGGCCAAGATAAGGTGGGTGTCTGGCGAGTACTTCCAGCCTGCTGTGAAAACAGCTGACGCAGTCTCACCGAGGCTCGCGCCCCAGCCTCTCGGGTTGACTCGGCCAGACTAGATCCCGAGAGGCGTGGGAGTACCTCGCCAGGTGGGTGTGTATATGGCGCTCGACGCCGCAGAATGGCGGTTTGCGTCGGAGTTTGCGTGGGACGATGGTGGCACAACATCGCCGCCGCTCGACACGCAGCCCGACGACCTCATCGAGTTGATCGGCTCGTACTCCAGCGACGTGCTCGAGCCAAGCCACCTGGGCCGCCTTGCCAGGACGAGTACATGCATGCGGCGGCTGCTGGCAGAGCTGCTAGAAACGCTTCGGGCCGATAGAAAGGCGGCGCTGCTGCTATCCCGAAAGGTCGCCCCGTCGCTGGCAGACTTTCTTCGCGAGCGGCCCACCGCAATCTTCGCGAGCGGCAAGAACATCACGGAAGCAGACGCGCCGACGCTCGGCCACTGGTTACGCAGCGAGGCGTCGTCGCAACTCGAGCTTCTCAATCTCAGCGACAATCCGCTTGGCTCCGCGGGCGCGGATGCCATCGCCGCCGCCACGACCACCGGCAGCCAAAGGCGTCTCAAGCGCGCCGGCGGCTTGAAACACCTCAGGAGCCTCTTCCTCAGCGGCACCGAGTTGGGCGTCGACGGAATGCGGCACCTCGCTGCATGCATCGGCGACGGCGGGCTACCCAGCCTGGAGTGGCTCTTCCTAGGCAACAATGCCGTCGGCGACGACGGCGCCAAGGCCCTTGCGGAGGGGCTCGCCGAGAAGGAGGCGCCGGCGCTCAAGACGCTGCACCTTGCCGACAACGGGATTCGCGATGCGGGCATCGTGGCGCTAATGGCTACGGCGGCCGAGGGCAAGCTGGCGAGTATCGAGGAGTTGGTCCTCGAGAAGAACCGGTTTGGTGACGCGGGTGCCGACGCGCTTACGGCGTCAATCTCGAAGGGCAGCTTGCCGAAGCTGAAGTACCTCAAACGCTGAGTCGAGCCGCCCTGCCCCAAGCGTCCGACTCATACGGGGCCCGCGGCGCGAGGCTCGTGACTTGTATTATTGGGGTGGGCGTCCAACCGCGACTGCGAGTGAAAGAAAAGGACGACGTTAATTAATTCACCACCCAGAAAATGCAGAAAGGGAAAAGAGAAGGACCATGCTCCATGGATCGCACAGGGGCGGGGACCTGTTCCTTTTTACCCATCTCACCTCTCGAGAGGTGTCCGTCGTTTATGTGGAGGGGTTGTGGATAATCCGGCCTCCATGGAGCGCCGGGTGGACGGAGATCGAGACGGAGGGGGCAGCGGTCAGGGCGCGCGACAAAGAAACGAGGGAAACTAAGACGCATTTCATATCGCCTGGTGAACGCTGGGCGCCAGACCGCCGACGGGTGCGTTGTCTTGCCCAAAGAGCCATCTCTTCGGCCCGTACTGGTGTGCTGGTGGGACAAACCTGCAGGCCGCGGGTGGCGGCATCGGCTGAAAGCGGCTCGCGAAGTCCTGAACGCAAACGCTCGTCGAGTTGACCAGGGAGAGCGCGACGTCGCTTGGTGCTCGGATCGGCTGCGATAGCATCGTTCGTGCCGCGCTTCGAAAGAAGAGGTAGCCCGCCGTGCTTATGATTGTGTTGGGGCTGTCGTGGCGGTGCACGTCGGCATGCCTATCGGAGCTCTCCACCAGCGGCTTGCGTCTGCCCATCATCCCTCCGAGCGCCTTGATTCGCATGTCCTGCCGATAGGCGCTCAACCAAAAGATGCCGGCGTCGCAAGGCACCCGATACGGCGCGAGACTTTGCCACAGGCTGGTCGGGACCATTGCGTCATCCTCTAGCATGAGTGCTGCATGCGCAGCAGGGCGGCTCAGCAAATCGGCGTAAGCGAGGGCGTGCTTGATGGCTAAGCTCAGCGTCCCATTGGCCTTGAGCGGATCGACGTGAGTCGCGGGCTGAAAGCGGGTGGGCTGACCCTCGGGGTGAATGCACGCACGCTCCCGTGCACTGAGCGCCGCAACCGTATCGGCGTTGGCACATTCGATCAGGGTCACATCAGCAGCTCCGAGCGCCGCCACGCGCCTCGTGATCGCCTCCAACCGGCTGCGGAGCTGGGGCACCACCGCGACGAAAATGGGCACGGATGCAGTGGCGGCCGGGCGGCCCAGCGCCACGCGGCGCATGCAGCCCCGCGGCGAGGCGGCCATTCTTTGCAGCAAACGCTGCAAGCAGCGCTGTCCGGCTTCGCCTCCAGGGTGCGAGCCCACCACGCCGTCGTCTTCCCAAGCTGCGGCACTTGAGTTGCTCGACAACAGCGGGCACAGGCGAACTGGAGCGTTTCCAAGGTGCTCCGTCGCGGTTGGAGCGTCTGTGTCGTGTAGTGGCAAGCCGACAGATCGGAACCGCGTCGCACCCGACGCGGACGCGTTCCAGCGCATGCCGGTGAACGTGTGCCCGGCGAAGCACAGGCGCGAAAGTTGGGATATAAAAGAAATGCTTTTGGCTTCCCGAGCGCATGTATGGTCGTGTGTCGTACACTGGAGCGGCTCTCCTGGCTCGTGATCTTGTTTTTTCTTTCGCGATATAGGAAGCCGCCGGATATAACTGGGGCCCCGGACGTAAGGGGAGAGATTTTTGTATTTTGAAGACCAGCAAGAAATCACGGCTCTCGCAGAGATTTGGGCTCGGCAGCTTGTTAGCCCTCAGCCGAAGCTGGGGCCGGTCCCGTAGCCGAGAGAGCCCGCGCCGTAGACGCGAGGGTCGCCCCCCCTTGCTTGCCCCACCACCTCGTGTGTGTGGAGAAGTTTACCTTATAGTTAGGCCGTCGAGCGCCGCCCTGGCATCCTCGCGCTTTCGCTTCCGGCGCATCGCCTTCGTCTCCTTGCTGCGCAGCAGGGTGTAGTTCGGGCCACCTCCGCCACGCTGTCCACGCAGCACGTGGACGGCGCTCGCCATCTCGACCGCGTCGTCCTCCGGCGGAAGCTCCGCGTCGCCCGCGGCCGCTTCCCGAGCGCGCTCGTCGCGCATCCGCTCGTGGTGGGCCTGCCGACGCGCCACGCCGGCGCCCGTGTGCCTCGCCGCCGCGTCCGGTGACGGCATCGATCGCTGCCACAGGTCGTCCCAACACGGTGAGCAACAGGTCGTCCCACGAGGTCGTCCCAAAGGACACATCCAAGCCGCCGCATTTCGCCCGCCGAAAAGTCTCCCACTCGCGCCCTCCCCAAACCTAAATCGTCTCTACAGTCACATACATACCTTACCTTGAACACTTACACCTGAACATGCCGAAGCATACCCTTACCCGTACCCCAAAGAGCAAAGACTATAGTCGAGCGCGTCGGAAAAGAGGAAACATCTCGCGGCGATGGAAATGGAGGCGGCCGCTCTTCCTCCGCGCCCCCCGCAAGGCGCGCGATACACAGATTCAAAACAATTCGCAAATGGCCAAAAGGTGTGTGTGTGCGTGCGTGTAGCAGGCACTATCAGGCAAGACCCTCTGGGGTTGGACTGCCACGATGCCACGAACACAAACACAACTCTGGCCTCTCTCATCGTGCCACCACCCTTGGCAGCACAAAGCCGCGCCAGACGTCCGCCAGCTCCGGAGCCGCTCCCTCGCGGCCGTCGAAGCGCTCCTCGTCCCACGCGATCAGGTAGCCCAGTCGCATCACCTCGACCGCCCGCTTGCGAGACGCCTCCGGGAAGAGCTCGTGCGACTGCGGCGACCACTCCGCCGCCTTGAGGACCAGCCTGCCCACCTCCACCGCCTCGGCCGCTGGCTGCAGGTTGGCCGGCCTGAGGGAGGGCAGAGGCGTGGGGTGTCGAGAGAGAGAGGATCCGGCGAGTGGGGGAGAGACCATGGCGCGCCTCAGTGCGAGTGCCTTGGCCTCGCCCGCCACGCGCACGCCGAAGCGGCACGTCGAAGCACTCGCGGAGACGACGACGCCGACCTTGCCGTTCATCGAGGGCCGCGAGACGAGAGAGCGGATCTTGACTGTGGAACCGACGGCCGCAGCGGTCGGATCCGACTCGCCCCACGCGCAGAGGACGCGCGCCCGCTTGAGGGCAGAAGGCTCGCCGGCTGAAGAGTCCGCGCCGCCGCGCAGCAGCGCCCGCGCCCGCTCGACGGTGAGCGCCTGCAGAAGAGGGGCAATACGCGTGAGGACAACGCGCTCACGCCTTCGGCCGCTAGTCTCGGGCACGCCTCGAGGTGCTGGAGCGGCGTCCAACCGCGGCTGGCGACCAGCCAGGCGGCGAGGTCGGCGTGGCCGCGGCTGTTTGCGGCCTCCTCGGGCGCGCCAAAGGGCGTAGCGGCGCGGGAGGCGCCGTAGGAGGAGAGGAGCTTGGCGACCTCGAGGTGGCCGAAGTGGCACGCGGCGAACAGCGGCGTGGCACCGTCGTTGCGGGCTTGGTTGGGCGCCGCGCCAGCCTCGAGGAGCAGCCGGACGATCTCGAGGTGGCCGCCCTGGCACGCCATGAACAGCGGGGTGATGCCATCGTTGCGGGCTTGGCTGATCGCCGCGCCCGCCTCGAGGAGCAGCCGGGCGATCTCGAGGTGGTTGTTCTCGCACGCGACGTTTAGCGGCGTGGCGCCGTCGTCCTTGGCTTCGTTGACGGCTGCGCTCGCCTCGAGGAGCAGCCGAACGCAGTCGAGGTGGCCCTCCTGGCACGCCATGTACAGCGGCGTGAAGCCTCTAGCATCTGCTTGGTTGACCGCCGCGCCAGTCTCAAGGAGCAGCCGGACGCACTCGATCTGCCCTTCCTGGCACGCCATGATCAGCGGTGTGACGCCTTCAGCGTCTCCTTGGTTGACCGCCGCGCCCGCCTCGAGGAGCAGCCGGACAATCTCGAAGTGGTTCTTCTCGCACGCAACGCTCAGCGGCGTGGTACCGTCATCCTTGGCTTGGTCGGGCGCCGCGCCAGACTTGAGGAGCAGCCGGGCGATCTCGAGGTGGCCCTCCTGGCATGCCTTGAAGAGAGGCGTGGCGCCAGTGTTGCGGGCTTGATTGGCCGCCGCGCTCGCCTCGAGGAGCAGCCGGACCATCTCGAGGTGGCCCTTCTCGCACGCGACGATCAGCGGCGTGTAGCCTTCAGCGTCTGCTTGGTTGACCGCCGCGCCCGCCTCGAGGAGCAGCCGGACCATCTCGAAGTGGTTGTTCTCGCACGCAACGCTCAGCGGCGTGATGCCTCCAGCATCTACTTGATTGACCGCCGCGCTCGCCTCCAGGAGCAGCCGAACGCACTCGAGGTGGCCCTGCTCGCACGCGACGATCAGCGGCGTGAAGCCTCCAGAGTCTGCTTGGTTGACCGCCGCGCCAGCGTCGCGCAGCAGCCGGACGATCTCAAGGTAGCCCCTCTCGCACGCGAGTAAGAGAGTCGACGCGCCTTCGCCGTCAGCCGCCCCGACGCTCGCGCCGCTGTCTAGCAGCAGCCGCACCGCCTCGGCTTGCCCATGACGAGCGGCCCAGGTGAGCAGCGTGTCCTGTTTCTCGGTGTCGAGCCGCGCGTCGAGCTGAGCCGCGAGCGACGTGCCGCGCGTCAGCCCGGAGAGGAGGGCGAGAAGCGAGGCCAGGTCGCCCTGAGCCAGGTCGGCGAGGAGTGGGTGGATGTCGCCGCTCATAGTGTGTGCAGTCCACATGCGCCTAGGAAGATGTGGCCAGCTCGTGGGAAGGCAGCCCCCGTGGGAACGCCACCCCGGCCCCCTCCCGACACCGGAGCGGTGCTCCGGGGGCACGCCCCCGTGCACCACCCCCGCCTATGAACTGCACCACTCCCGATCGGGGGCGGTGCTCCGGGGGCACGCCCCCGTGCACGCCCCCTCATATGACAGCGCACGCCTCCTCATATGAAATGCACACCCCCGCCCGGTTTTCATATGAACTGCACCGCTCCGAGGCGGGGGTGGTGCGGGAGTGGTGCAGTCCGGCGCACCTCCGCCGCGCCGAGCGTGGAGCCCTCCACCGAGCCGCAGGCTCGCGCCGACGCGCCAGCGGCATCGTACGGGATGACGGTCGCCTCGCCATGTCGATCTCCGCGCACGCGGCGCGCTCGATCTCCGCGGTCGGCTGCCGCAAAAGCGGCTGGCTCACGACAGCGTTTTGCCGGTTGTCGGGTGGGAGAGTACATGTCGTCTGGTGTGTGGCGTGTACCTAGTTTTGATCGCGGCAATAAAGCGGTCGAACGAATAAGCGACCCACTCTTCCCGTGGTCTCGTGCTTGACACAGAGTCAGACTGCGGCGGCACACAGCAAACCGCACAGGAAGAGACGTGCAGGGCAAGAAGAGCTCGATAGGGAGCGAGAACCGTCAAAGGTGCTCACGCAGGTTTCGAACGTCCGTCATGGTGCGGTCAGTTCCCCCCAGGTTTGACCGCGTAGCTCTCAAAGCCAGGCGAAAAAATCTTGCCGTCTGCACCACTCTGCTGCGTGTCGTGCTGTGCGAGAAGAGCCGTCGCTGCGCGGAGACCACGGGAAGAGTGGGTCGCTTATTCGTTCGACCGCTTTATTGCCGCGATCAAAACTAGGTACACGCCACACACCAGACGACATGTACTCTCCCACCCGACAACCGGCAAAACGCTGTCGTGAGCCAGCCGCTTTTGCGGCAGCCGACCGCGGAGATCGAGCGCGCCGCGTGCGCGGAGATCGACATGGCGAGGCGACCGTCATCCCGTACGATGCCGCTGGCGCGTCGGCGCGAGCCTGCGGCTCGGTGGAGGGCTCCACGCTCGGCGCGGCGGAGGTGCGCCGGACTGCACCACTCCCGCACCACCCCCGCCTCGGAGCGGTGCAGTTCATATGAAACTGCGCACCGCTCCGGTGCACCGCTCCCGTGCGCAATTAGGAGCGGGGGTGGGCCAGGTGGCGTGCCCCTCTAATGGGGGGTGGCGTTCCCACGGGGGCTGCCTTCCCACGAGCTGGCCACATCTTCCTAAAGAAAAAAAAGCGGAGAGCTTTTCGATTTTTGTCGCTTCGCGCTTTCGCTTTCTTTTTCCTCACTGTTGATCGTCTCCGTTTCTGTAAAAAAGAAGGGATCTTAGCTCCCCGGCCCTGGGGTGTGAGGTTACCAACTGCACACTACTCCAAGTGCTCCAAGATCTGGCCCCCTCGCCTTCCGCAAGCAAGCGAAAGAGGAGCGAGACCCTGGGGGTTTGCGTTTGGCCTGCCACGAGAACTCAGGACCGTTGCAGTCATCGCACCACCACCCTTGGCAGCACAAAGCCGCGCCAGACATCCGCCAGCTCCGGAGCCGCTCCCTCGCGGCCGTCGAAGCGCTCCTCGTCCCACGCGATCAGGTAGCCCAGTCGCATCACCTCGACCGCCCGCTTGCGAGACGCCTCCGGGAAGAGCTCGTGCGACTGCGGCGACCACTCCGCCGCCTTGAGGACCAGCCTGCCCACCTCCACCGCCTCGGCCGCTGGCTGCAGGTTGGCCGGCCTGAGGGAGGGCAGAGGCGTGGGGTGTCGAGAGAGAGAGAGGATCCGGCGAGTGGGGGAGAGACCATGGCGCGCCTCAGTGCGAGTGCCTTGGCCTCGCCCGCCACGCGCACGCCGAAGCGGCACGTCGAAGCACTCGCGGAGACGACGACGCCGACCTTGCCGTTCATCGAGGGCCGCGAGACGAGAGAGCGGATCTTGACTGTGGAACCGACGGCCGCAGCGGTCGGATCCGACTCGCCCCACGCGCAGAGGACGCGCGCCCGCTTGAGGGCAGAAGGCTCGCCGGCTGAAGAGTCCGCGCCGCCGCGCAGCAGCGCCCGCGCCCGCTCGACGGTGAGCGCCTGCAGAAGAGGGGCAATACGCGTGAGGACAACGCGCTCACGCCTTCGGCCGCTAGTCTCGGGCACGCCTCGAGGTGCTGGAGCGGCGTCCAACCGCGGCTGGCGACCAGCCAGGCGGCGAGGTCGGGGTGGCCTTGGCGGTTTGCGGCCTCCTCGGGCGCGCCAAAGGGCGTAGCGGCGCGGGAGGCGCCGTAGGAGGAGAGGAGCTTGGCGACCTCGAGGTGGCCGAAGTGGCACGCGGCGAACAGCGGCGTGGCACCGTCGTTGCGGGCTTGGTTGGGCGCCGCGCCAGCCTCGAGGAGCAGCCGGACGATCTCGAGGTGGCCGCCCTGGCACGCCATGAACAGCGGGGTGATGCCATCGTTGCGGGCTTGGCTGATCGCCGCGCCCGCCTCGAGGAGCAGCCGGGCGATCTCGAGGTGGTTGTTCTCGCACGCGACGTTTAGCGGCGTGGCGCCGTCGTCCTTGGCTTGGTTGACGGCTGCGCTCGCCTCAAGGAGCAGCCGAACGCAGTCGAGGTGGCCCTCCTGGCACGCCATGTACAGCGGCGTGAAGCCTCTAGCATCTGCTTGGTTGACCGCCGCGCCAGTCTCAAGGAGCAGCCGGACGCACTCGATCTGCCCTTCCTGGCACGCCATGATCAGCGGTGTGACGCCTTCAGCGTCTCCTTGGTTGACCGCCGCGCCCGCCTCGAGGAGCAGCCGGACAATCTCGAAGTGGTTCTTCTCGCACGCAACGCTCAGCGGCGTGGTACCGTCATCCTTGGCTTGGTCGGGCGCCGCGCCAGACTTGAGGAGCAGCCGGGCGATCTCGAGGTGGCCCTCCTGGCATGCCTTGAAGAGAGGCGTGGCGCCAGTGTTGCGGGCTTGATTGACCGCCGCGCTCGCCTCGAGGAGCAGCCGGACCATCTCGAGGTGGCCCTTCTCGCACGCGACGATCAGCGGCGTGTAGCCTTCAGCGTCTGCTTGGTTGACCGCCGCGCCCGCCTCGAGGAGCAGCCGGACCATCTCGAAGTGGTTGTTCTCGCACGCAACGCTCAGCGGCGTGATGCCTCCAGCATCTACTTGATTGACCGCCGCGCTCGCCTCCAGGAGCAGCCGAACGCACTCGAGGTGGCCCTGCTCGCACGCGACGATCAGCGGCGTGAAGCCTCCAGAGTCTGCTTGGTTGACCGCCGCGCCAGCGTCGCGCAGCAGCCGGACGATCTCAAGGTAGCCCCTCTCGCACGCGAGTAAGAGAGTCGACGCGCCTTCGCCGTCAGCCGCCCCGGCGCTCGCGCCGCTGTCTAGCAGCAGCCGCACCGCCTCGGCTTGCCCATGACGAGCGGCCCAGGTGAGCAGCGTGTCCTGTTTCTCGGTGTCGAGCCGCGCGTCGAGCTGAGCCGCGAGCGACGTGCCGCGCGTCAGCCCGGAGAGGAGGGCGAGAAGCGAGGCCAGGTCGCCCTGAGCCAGGTCGGCGAGGAGTGGGCGGATGTCGCCGCTCATATCTGTGTGCACACATGTACTACCCGGTGATGGCGGCGGACGGGCACTCGTACGAGCGGTCGGCGATCGAGCGCTGGCTCGCGACCAAGTCGACGAGCCCGCTGACCGGCGGCGAGCTCGAGCACAGGATATTGATCCCCAATCACACGCTACGGCGGCAGATTGGCGAGTGGCACGAGGCGCATGTGGGACGGTAGGAGGGAAGAGGGGTGGCCTGGCCTCCATGTCCATGTCCATGTCCATGTCCATGTCCATGTCCATGTCCATGTATGTCCATGTAGTTGTGGAGAGTGGAGATTCTAGTTGGTACACGCGTGGTGAGTACGGTTTTCTACGTTTTTCTTGTACAAAACGCTGACATCTCCCCCCGCACCACCAGCACAGATTTTCGCGTTGTTGCAATGTTGCCGCCGGGCCCCCCCGCACCCCCCCCCCAGCCCCACCCCCGCTGCCGGTGCCGCCGCCGAGTTCCCGCCAGCGAGCCGTCTCTTTTTACGAGGTTGAGCTAGTAGAGACGCCGTCGGGTCTACCCGTCAATGCGGCAGGTGGTTTGCTCTGGCTCGCTGCCACCGCGTGCAGTAACACAGAGGTACACACACTGGAATATGAAAGAATTTTAGGGGCCCGTAAAAATTAATGGAAATAAAAGAACCCTCGCTTCCGGTCCGACACACACAGGTAACACAAAAAACGCAAAAGTAATCGATAGCCACCTCCGCTCCCCCCCACGCCCACGTACCCTTTCCCACCCACCCACCCACGACGTAAATCGGCGGGTCGGGCGCTTCTACTACTTATCGCGGCCATTCTGCCGCACTGCCTGGGCTTCTCGCCCTCGAGGCTTCGCCCCCACCTCGACGTGCGTTGACGACGACGCTGTGGTGCCCGCGTTTGCCACCGCCCTCGGGGGCTTGGTCACTAGAATCGGAGCCGCGCGCGAGCCCGTGCTGGCGGAGGAGGAGGATCCGGCTCGGCGGGCGGGCGCGGGCGTGGACGCATTACTTGGCGGCGCTTCTGCGGCGCTGACGCCGGGGAGATGCCGGCGTAGGAGGACGGGTGCCCCCTCGCGGGCGGGTCAGTCCTGCGCTCGGTCGGCGCTGAGGGCGGCAGCAGGGTGAGCTTGCCACCATCTCCAGGCTGAGCGCCCGCAAGCACCTCGGACGCCGGGCGCGCGATGCTGGCCGCGCCGTCCTTTCGCGAGGCGTCCCCCGGCCCGCTGCCGCGGCCGTCCGCAGCACCGGCGTGGGGCGAGGCGTGCTGCTCATCTAGCGGGAAGAGGGCCACGCCGTAGGAGGCGCGGCCGACCGTGAGCGTGGCGCCCGGAGTCAGCATCGGCGTCGAGGGCTGGCTTCCGAGCCGGGAGAGCTCGGCGGAGAGGTGGGCGATGTCGCGGCTCTGCTGGGCGATGAGCGCGCGCTGCGACTGCATCATGGAGCGCAGCTCTTCGACGGTGCCGAAGGTGTTTGGCTCGCTCCCAACGGAGATGTGGAGCAGGAGGCAGCACGAGTCGATCTGCGTGCCGCTGGGCGAGCGCAGGTGTAGGCAGCGGTAGCCGCAGCGGAGGGAGCCGAGCACCGCCGTCTCATACGCCACCAGCCGCCCCTCATCCTCCACCACCACCCGCAGGATGGTCTGGTGAGGCTCGGCCGCGAGGCAATGGAAGGTCTCGTCGAAGCTAGGGTTGAGGCCGTTGCCCTCCGCGACTGCGGTGACGAGCCGGGTCACGCCCTGCGCCTCGGGCGACGGCTGCGGCTCGCGCGCGACGGTGCAGAAGCCTCCAATTGCGTGCAGCTCGACGGCGACGCGCGGGCTCGACACGCTGGCACGGGCCCCGCTGGGCGGGCATGGGCTGTCGCTGAGGTGCGAAGCAAAGGAGTGGCGAGGCTCGGCGAGGAGGGGCCGGCACTCGTCCCGCGTCGGGAGCTGGTGCAGGGAGAGGACCTACGCGGCGGTGGGTCGCTCGGTGAGCTGACTAGGGAGAGGGCCGAGCGGGGCGGCAGCAAGGCGCGCGGCGGCCTTCAGGCTCGTCCGATGCACCTCCACCCGCGGCGGCGGCCACTGCTTCCCCCGCCCTATCACTGACTCCTTCTGCAGGGGCTCCGTCTCCAAAGACGAGCGGGGGGCCAGGCTGCCCTCACCCGACGCCCGATCACTGCCAGAGCCAGAGAGCAAGCGAGACGGGGTCCTGGGGCTCCTGTTGGGTGGTATGGGGGGCGGCATCGCCCGATCGGGCGCACGGAGCGCCGCGGGCTTGAGGACGTAGCCACCGCTGCCGCGAAAGAGAGCGTCGTGGAGCTGCACCGGAGCGTCGTTCGTCTGCAGGTTGAGCGCCACCATCTGGACACCCGCGCGCCACGCCGCCTGTGGCGGGGTTGGGGGAGGAAATGTTCGCTTCGCTTGTGGCGAGATGGGGTGCGGGGGGCTGGGGGAGGTGGTGGGAGCGAGGGCGGGACGCTCACAAGCGGGTTGGGGTTGGTCGACAACCATCGAGTCGGAGAGGGGAAAGTTCGCACGAGCTGGACGGCCGTGGCGGGCAGCCACCCTCCCTCCTCGCTCGCCAGCCGCTCCAGCCGCTCCTCAGACAAGCTCACGACACCTCGGCGCGGCAGCTTGGCGGCCGAGAGCTCGCTCGCCGGTTCCTCCGCTGGCCACGGGCCGCTCTGCAAGCAGGTCGAGCTTAGAGACCCGAGGGAAGACTCGGAGATGTCCTGCGTGGCCCTGCTGTCGCCGTCGCCCTTTGCGTGGCACTCGAGAGGCACGCCGCGGAGCCGGCCCCAGACGCCCCGGTGGAGAGAGCGGCCGCTGAGCTCCTTCCAGCTCCCCTTGCGGTCGAGCCGCCTGCCGCTGTCGTCCTCCACGGGCGGCGACGAACCGATGGAGCACGTGGGGAGGGTGACGAGCGAGCGGAGGAGCGGGTCGGTGATCACCCCTCCCCTATCGAGCCGCATCTTGACGAGCACCTATTAGCCGCGACGTATCCGAGATGTCGAGCTAAGCCCGAGATCACCCTCGTCGAGCCGCAGCGTGAGCACCGTCCGGTGCAGCTCGCGGAGGGTGCTCGCGGCCGTGGGGCGCTCGAAGGGCGACCGCGGCGTGCGCAAGAGCATGTCGCCGAGCGTGTCGATGAGCTCTTTGGCGACCTTCTTCTGCTGCTTCGCCGAGCAGTGCATCTCGATGCTCAGGATCACGGGCAGAGGACTGCTGGTGAAGGCGTGCTCGGCTATCGCGGCGACCACCTCGCCGAAGGCTACGCTCCCGCAAAGGAGAGAGACCCCGCCCGGCATGCGATGAGTGACACGCGGGCCCTGGCCCGACCACCGCCCGTCCCAGCAGTCGATCTCGAGGCAGCGAGTCCCCGAGAGCAGGAGGCGGCGGTACATGTCGGCCGAGGCCGCAGAGGTGAGCTGGTCCCCCTCGAGGAAGCTGTTGTGCGACGAGGCGATCCAGTAGCTGCTGAGCGGCTCGGTCGCATCCTCCGTCGGGGCGCTCCTCTGCTCGATGGCGCTGTTGCACGGCGAGAGCAGCAGCGCGGCGAACTCGTGCACTGAGACGAGCTCAGACTCCTCCATGGTGGCCTCGTTTGGCCGGGTGGCGCGGAGGCCTGCCTTCCACTCCTCCCACAGAGTGCGCCCCCCCGCGCCCTGCTCGTTGAGGCAGAAGCGAAGCAGGTCCCCCAGGCTCAGCGACGCTTTCGACGCTTCCGTGCTGGGCATCCTGCTGCCCAGCGAGAACGCCCTGGTGAGCCTCCCACCCGCCTCAGGGTCTGCGACGTCAGCACAATGGCCGTGGCGGTGCGAGGAAACCAAAGAGGCGAGCCCCTCGATGAAGGGCGTCGTGTTCCGCGTCGCCTGCAGCCACTCCCGAAGCTGCGCGGCCTCGCGCGCGGCCGCCCCCCACAGCTTCTGCTCCAGCGCCGAGCGCTGCTCGACGAACGGGCGCCGCTCGACGTCGGGGGGGGCTTCGGTCGGCTCCTTGTTGGCCCTGCGGCAGATCCGCTCCCACACGGCGTGCGACGTAGCGGCAGGGCGCATACCGTGAAGGACGGGCAGGTGCGTGCAAAGCCAGCGGCAGACCCGCCGCACCCCTCGCGCGGCACCGACGCCGAGGCGCGCAAGGGGGCTCCGCGCGACCCACAAGCCGAGGAGGGTCCACGGGCTCGTGCCGTGGGCCGCGGCGATGCGCAGCAGCAGCCGGAACGTGGTGACGCAGAGCAAAAGCACGCACAGCACCAGGGCGCCAGGGAGTGCAATGCTGGTCCATTCCGGCCATCCCATGAACGGGCTGCCGACCTGCGCCGTCAATGGCGCCGTCAATGGCGCCGTCGGTGGCAGCGCAGGCGGCGGCAGAGGCGGCGGTGCCAGCGGCGGCGACGCAGGCGGTGGAGGCGCACAGTTGACCCTTAGCTCACTCATCCTGCACGTTTCGCCGCTGACGAAGCAAGCCGACCACAGGCCACCGCCTCGCACCTTGGCACTGCCGGCGCAACTCTCCGGCGTGAGATCGACGCAGTGAAAACGGAGAGAAGTGATGGGGTTGAGCGAGCATGCGTTGCTGAGGAGCGGCCCGGGTGGCCGTGGAGGCGCTGCTCGCTGCGTGCACTCAGCAGTCTCGTCGCTCATGATGCAAGCATCTCCGCTGACGAGGCATGCCGACCACAGGCCATTGGCTCGCACCTTGGCCTTTAACGCACAGCGTGCGGGAGAAACCTTGGCACAAAAGAAGTTCTCCCTCGTGATGGGGCTGAGCGAGCACACGTCGAGGACAGGCGACTGCGGCGGCGCTGGCGGCGGCGTGGGGCACTCAGCAGCCTCGTGACTCATGGCGCAGGATTCTTCGCTGACGTAGCATGCTGACCACAGGCCGTTGGCTCGCACCTTGGCGCGGCTCGCGCAATTTTCCAGCGGGACTTGCGAACACCAGTAGTCGGCACTCGTCATGGGGTTGAGCGAGCACGCAGCGTCCAGGGGCAGCAATGGAGGTGGCGAAGGAGGCGGCTGTGGAGGCGGCGGCGGAGGTGGTGGAGGCGGCGATGGAGGTGGTGGTGTAGGCGGCGAAAGCGGCGGCGGGGGCTGGAGACGGATGGGGCATTCGGTAGCCTCTTCACCCATGATGCAAGCATCTCCGCTGACGAGGCATGCTGACCACAGGCCGTTGGCTCGCACCTTGGCGCGGCTCGCGCAATTTTCCAGCGGGACTTGCGAACACCAGTAGTCGGCACTCGTCATGGGGTTGAGCGAGCACGCAGCGTCCAGGGGCAGCAATGGAGGTGGCGAAGGAGGCGGCTGTGGAGGCGGCGGCGGAGGTGGTGTAGGCGGCGATGGAGGTGGTGGTGTAGGCGGCGAAAGCGGCGGCGGGGGCTGGAGACGGATGGGGCATTCGGTAGCCTCTTCACCCATGATGCAAGCATCTCCGCTGACGAGGCATGCCGACCACAGGCCGTTGGCTCGCACCTTGGCGCGGCTCGCGCAATTTTCCAGCGGGACTTGCGAACACCAGTAGTCGGCACTCGTCATGGGGTTGAGCGAGCACGCAGCGTCCAGGGGCAGCAATGGAGGTGGCGAAGGAGGCGGCTGTGGAGGCGGCGGCGGAGGTGGTGGAGGCGGCGATGGAGGTGGTGGTGTAGGCGGCGAAAGCGGCGGCGGGGGCTGGAGACGGATCGCTGACATTTTCAGAAAGGCAAGCTCTCGAGAGTCGTTGCAGCGAGATTGTTGTCACGTTCACGGCGTTTCTTACACCTTTTTTCCTTTCCAAAAGAGAAGCCGCTCTCGAGCTCCTCCAAGAAAAATGAAAAGAAGAAAAACGAATTCCAAGGAGCTCGACAGAGCGATGGTGGCTCACACAGACACAGCGGTGGCTCACACAGACACAGCGGTCGGCAATGGCGTCGACGCCGTAGTCGAGAAGGTCTGCAGCGACGAGCTCCCGGTGCACTCGCTCGAGCGCGAGCTCGGTGACTGCGCGCGCGCGGTGCTCGTCCGGCGCGAGTGGCTCAAGCGCCAGCCCGGCGTCGCGTCGGCCGAGGCGGTCGGCCGCGTGCCGCACGAGGGCTTTGACTACGACGCGGTGCACGGCGCGTGCGCCGAGATGGTGTTCGGGTACATCCCGCTTCCCGTCGGCGTCGCTGGCCCGCTGCTGCTCAACGGTAAGACCTACCAGGTCCCGTTGGCGACGGTCGAGGGCGCTCTCATCGCCTCGACTCGGCGCGGCTGCAAGGCCATCACCGCGGCGGGCGGCGCGTCGGCCGCGGTTCTGTCGCAGGGGATGACGCGCGCGCCCGTGATCCGCTTCCCGAGCGCGATCCGCGCCGCGGCGTTCGCCGCCTGGATGCACGACCCCGCCAATCTCGCGGTGGCGCAGGAGCAGTTTGCGACGACCACGCGCTTCGGGCGGCTCACCTCGTGCCGCGTGACGGTGGCGGGGCGGTACGCGTACGCGCGCTTCGTGTGCGCGACGGGCGACGCGATGGGGATGAACATGGTCTCGAAGGGCGTCTCTGCCGTCCTCGACTTTCTCTCTGCTGGCTCGTTTGGCGACCTCGAGCTGCTCGGCCTGTCGGGCAACGTCTGCTGCGACAAGAAGGCGGCGGCGGTCAACTGGATCTCGGGCCGGGGCTGCTCGGTGGTGGCGGAGGCGACGATCCCCGGCCACGTCGTCGAGTCCGTCCTCAAGACGACCGTCGCCGCCGCGTGCGAGCTCAACGTCGCTAAGAATCTGATTGGCTCGGCGATGGCGGGCGCGCTGGGCGGGTTCAACGCGCACGCGTCCAACATCGTGACGGCGCTCTACCTGGCGTGCGGGCAGGACGCGGCGCAGAACGTCGAGTCCTCCCAGTGCATCACGCTCCTCGAGCCCGCCAACGGCGGCGCCGATCTGCACGTCTCGGTGACGATGCCCTCGATCGAAGTCGGCACCGTCGGCGGAGGAACCATCCTCGCCCCGCAGCGCGCCTGCCTTGAGATGCTCGGCGTCGCCGGCGCCGGCCAGGAGGCGGGCAGCCACGCGCGAGAGCTGGCGACCGTCGTCGCCGGCGCCGTCCTCGCCGGCGAGCTCTCCCTCCTCGCAGCGCTCTCGGCGGGCCACCTCATGCGGGCGCACCTCGCTCACAACCGCAAGCCGGCGGCGCCGTGAGGGAGCGTGCTCGGGGACCGCGCGGCAGCCGCAAGATGATCTGAGACCGAAGGGGGCAGGGCCACGCGGCCGGGCCCCATCATGACGACACATGAGACCACGATACGGGCGGTGTGTGTACATGCCGCGAGGGCGAGCCGGCGAGCGGCGAGGCTAAATAAATAAATAAAAACGGACACCTCTACTAGGAGATGGGTAAAAAGGAACAGGTCCCCGCCCTGCGGTCTTTGTGCAGGGTTCTTTGTGGGTGTGGTCGGCGACTAGCCGGGGTCGTCCTCCCGATGGGGGACTAGCACTAGCCGTCTTCCACATGGTCCCTCGGGTCCCTGCTGCTCCTAATCTCGTCGTACATCCTCCTGCTGATCTCAGCAACATCCTGCTCCCTCCCTCGTCTCGCCCTGCGCGTCTGCTCCGCCTCCCCGTCGTCTGCCCTGCGTCGTCTGGTGACGGGTCCTCCATAGTCGGTCGAGGTCGCCGCCCTCCTCGTGCCTCTTCCCAACGTTTCCTCGGCGGCCGATGCCGTCTGCTCCGACTCCGCCGTCCCCGGGTCTGCCCTGCCCTCGTCTGCGCTAGCTTCTGTTTCGTCATCACTGGCGTCCCTCCTCTTCTTTCTCCTCTTCTTGTATGCTTTGTACATCGCGTCGATTCCTTTTCGCGTGAGCACCAGCCTGAAGCCCGCCCAGCAGCTGAACCGCTCCCTAAGTCGAAGGAGCATCATCAGTCTCACCCACTTCGCTCGCTGCCCACCGTCTCCGCTCCCTCCCGCTTGAGCCGCCGTCGCGGCCCTCGTTCGTCCCACTGGCTGCTGGCCTGTCTGCACGTTACCTCCGTTATCCCTCCTCCTCCGCGACTCCCTCAAGGCCGGCCGAGCCTCCTTCCACCCAGTGAAGAGCTTCCTCAGCCACTCGATGTGTTCCTCTCTCTTCATTATGCGCGCCGTAGCCTCATCATTGAGCTGGATCCACCTCTGCACCGCTCCCGTCGCCGCCTCGGCCACAACTTGCAAGTTCCTCGTGACCCCGGCGCCAAGGTCCCTCCGGCTCTTCTCCGAGAGATCATCTACCAGCGCCGGCAACACCCCCCCGACGGCTGGGGCTAGTGCATCGTACCCGTCCTCATCCAGCACCCTATAGCGTGAGCCCTTCAGCGCAGCGACATGCGCTTTCCTCAGCGTCTTCAGCGTATCCTTGGAGTCGGGTGCCGCCTGGGCTACTTTGCTGATCGCCGTCCCCGTCTGCGCTCGCGCCACTCTGAGGAACCATCTGGCCTGCTCCCTATTCCCCAGGCAGGCGCCGCTAAGCAAGTGCGCCATTGTCGCCCTAGGCGGGTTCTCATCTTCCTCGGTCCATTGCTGCGCGGCTTTCCGCGCGACTGGACACAGCGGGTCTCGCTTTAGTGCCGCCCTCCTCGCCGCGTCCCTCGCGGCCTTACAGACGAGGCAGCCCCTGAGTTCGCTCCTCGTGGCGGCGCCCGGGGTCTCTCTCCCCGCCTCTCCCCGCATGATCCTCTCGTGGTGCGCTCCGTGTGGCACCCCCGCCTGCTGCCGCACACGCGCTCCCATGACGGTCTTTGTCACCACGTTATGATCATCCACGTCAGCGAATTCAATCTCGCGCTCGCCGTGTTGATCCTTGATCCGCTGGCGCTTGTCCCATTTGTGTCTCGTCGTTCCCCTGACCACATCGCTCCACAGCGGCCCCGTCACCCCTGCCGTGTGGCGGCGAGGCTCCCGCGTCCGAGGCTTAAATATCTCGGGCGGCCAGAGGCAGAGCGATTGGGGTACTGTAAGCGGAGGTCGGAGCGCGCGCAGACATATGGTCACTGTCGTACTGTAGAAATATTACTCCGCGCTCAGCTCCATCGCGACGCCGGCACGACCCCTGGGGTGTGGCTCGGCTTGAACGGCATGACATAGGGAGTGAGTCCGCCACCAAACTTGCGCATGCCGTACCGCTTCGCGAGCTGGTCGGCGGCGGCGGGGCCGCGCGAGCCAACCGGGTAGCGGTGCGGCGGCAGCTTCGCGTCGCGCAAGTGGTGCAGCGCGGGCGTGAAGATGCGCCACGCCTCGAGCTGCTCCTCCGGCGAGACGAAGTGGGAGTGGTCGTTTGCAATCACCTCGAGCAGCAGCCGCTCGTACGCCTGCGGCAGCTTGCGCTCGAGCTTCCTGGCGAGCCTCGAGTAGAGGAGGTCCATCCGCACCTGCTCCACCTGGTCGGAGCGCAGGCCGGGCACCTTGCTCTGCACCTTCCAGTAGATGGCCTCCTCGGGCTGCACGCGCACGACGAGCTCGTTCGCCTCGCAGGAGCGGAGCGTCGCGACGGCGCCGGGCACTCCGTGGAACTGGATGCGCAGCTCCACCTTGTTCTCGGTGACGGCCTGTGCCGCCTTGAGGACGAACGGGACGCCTGCTCACCGCCGCGAGGTGTGAAGAGACGGCGGAGCGGCGCCGCCGCGAGGACGAGCGGGCGTGCACCCGCCCAGCGCGGGTTGTCGATGTGGAGCACTGCCGCCGCAAACGTCTCGGTGCAGGAGGCCTTGTTGCGCACCGACGGCTCCTCGAGGTACCCGCAGCCCACCTGCGAGCGGCTGTACTGGCCGAGCACCACGTCGTCGGCGGCGAGAGGCGCGATGGCTTGCAGCACCTTGAGCTTCTCGGTGCGGATATGCTCGGCGGAGAGCGAGAGCGGCTGCTCCTATGGTTGAGGGTTAGCAGCACCTTGAGCTTCTCGGTTCGGATGTGCTCGGCGGAGAGAGTGAGAGGCTGCTCCATCGCGACGAGAGCCATCATCTGCAGCAGGTGGTTCTGCATCACGTCGCGAATGATGCCGTACTGGTCGAAGTAGCCGCCGCGCCCCTCGATGCCGCGCTCCTCCTTGAAGATGACCTGCACCGCCTTGACAGCGTGCCGGTTCCACAGCGAGCCAAAGCAGATGTTTGCCTATGCTCGCAAGGGGCGTGAGGGAAGAGGTGTGACTAGGAGCGACTTTCCGCTTTCTCGCACAAAGCGCAGGATGAGCAGGTTCATCACGAGCTCCTTCCCCAAGTAATGGTCCATCCAAAACACGTCGCGGCCGGGCAGGCGCGCGAGGTCCGCCACGAGCGCCTCGCACGAGGCCGTGTCGTGCCCAAAAGGCTTCTCGAACACGAAGCGCTCCTTGAGCGCGCCGTCCGCGGCGCCGACGCCGTTCTCGCAGAGGGCGCGCGTGAGGGGCGCGTAGATGAAGGCGGGGACCGCGGCGTAGTACATCCGCACGCACCCCTCCGCCGCCGAACCGCCCGCGCGCCCAGCGGCACGCTCCGCCTCGAGCCCCGCAACCTGCTGCAGGCAGCGGCCCACGGCGGCTCTGTCGTCAAACTGGCCCGTCGCATAGTGGCAGCGCTGCAGGAATGCGGCAGGGCTGCCGCCGCAGCAGCGCCCCACATACTCACGGAAGGCGGCAGTGTCGGCGATCGTGCCGCCTCCACCCACCGGCCGCGCAAAGCCGACTATCAGCAGGTCGGGCGGGAGCAGCTCTCGCTGCCACAGCAGGTGGAGCGTGGGCAGCACCCGCGTGGACGCGAGGTTGCCGTCGGCCCCAAAGAGGAGGACCGTCGCGCAGGTCGACTTTGGCACCGGGCGGTAGGCGGTCTGACTAGGCGACTCGGGCTCATCGTCCATGTCTGAGTCCGAGTTATCGTGGTGCCGCTCGCTCGGCTGACGTTTGAGCTTTCGCAAACCCACGCGAGGCTCGCGCGAGACGTCATGACGAACGGACACGCTGGGCTCGCGAGAGCCATCATGCCACTCGGCGCCCGAGCCGCGCTCATGGGTTAAGAGGAGGCGGCGGAGCGCTGCGAGCGCCAGATAAGCAGCAGCCACGCCGCAGACCAGTTCGGCGGCTGTGCTGTATCTCACAGAGACCGGCATGAGCTGTCAAACACAATTGCGAGCTGTGGCAGTGCGGCCAGCCGAAGGTTGGCAGTTGGAGCACGCAAAAAAATCGAGCGCTCGGTCCCTTGTCAGGAGCAGGAGAGCCCCACCTGTGCCCCTGGTCGTCCTTCCAAAATCCTGCTCGTGCAGGTGGGGACCCTGTCCTCCTCCCCTATCCCTCGTTTGGATGGCTGCTTTCTTTCTTTCTTTCTTTCGAGTAGACTCAAAAAGTCGAACTTTGGTACTTCCTTCCCGTGAAATCCCTGTGCGGTGGCGGCGTGTCGTCCTCCCATCCCTCCTTTGGGCCGTGTTTTCTTTCTTTTTTCGAACAAAGGAACATACACAAAAACAATTCAACACAGGTACAAGCTAACCTGCACAAGCCACACAGGTACGACCCACGCAGGTCCGACACAGGTACAACAAGAGGCACAGAAAGAATTTTACAACAAAGCTCCCTCGCACGACACTGACTGGGCACGGGACTGGCGCGCACTGGCACTAAACAGAAAGAATTTGCAAACCGATCGCTCGACGGCGCCGCGGTCTGGTCTGTGGCACGGTGGGACTGTCTTGCACCGCTGCTCGCACTGGACATACACGTATTCTAGCTAGTGGACTAGCCCAGATGCACGCGGTCACACTCGTACCGCGGTAGCTGGCCGGTCTCGACAACGAGCGTGACGTTGCCCTGATTGCCGGCTGCGTTGAGGCAGCAGAGATCCATCGCGCGCGACGAGACCGGGGCGAGAAAGTACTTGGTCTCATTGGCCCCCTCGCTGGTCACCGTCGAGCGCACGAGCGCGCACGTCTCGTCGATCAGATTGACGGGCCCAGTGCTGGATTCGAGGTCGACGTAGCCGACTTGAAGCCGCTGCGTGCGCGCCCACAGCTGGCGATAGAGCTCGGCAAAGATCAGGCGGTACGACGACTCGCCATTTTGGGGCTTGGCCCACTTGCCCTTGATCAGCTCCTTAAAGCGCGGCCCGGCGGGGCTCGCGTCGATGTCGAGACTGGCGTTGATGTTTTTGAATGCCATCGCCTCAGTCACGCACTGTGGGTTGGACGAGCTCACCTCGCACGGCGTGATCTTTTTGTCCGTCTCGTCGAGCGTGCGGAGGCCCGTCACCTCCGTCCGATTGTCGAGGAAGAACGCCTCTTTCGACGCGCGATGCGCCACTATGCACGTGCCTGGCGTCGTGTAGGAGTAGCGCGTCGTCTCGGTGTCCTCGGGCTTGGCCAGTAGCGTCTCCGCGCACGGCACGCACGCGCGGAGCTCGGCATGCCGGCCATCGCAGCACAGCGGGCCGTCGCCGTCTTGCCCATCGGGGCCTCCGTCGCCTGCAGCCTTGACGCAGGTGTACCCGCCGTAGCTGCATCGCTTCGTCTGGCTGAGTGGGAGGAAGCCGGCATCGCACGTCGCTGGTGGAGGCGCCGGGCTCCCAGCGTCGGAGTGGGCGCCCAGCAGCCACTGGCTGCGCTCCGAGCCCAGCTCCTCTTGGATCCGCTGCATGACGGCAAACGGCCGCGTGCTCGTGCGCTGGAACTGGTCGTCGTAGTACGTGAGAGTCACGGTGAAGCCCTGGTACGTGCTCGCCGGCGACGTGGTCGTCGGGGCGGTGGACTCGAGGATGTGGCGGCGCAGGCTCATGCCAAGCGCAGGCTCGGGGACGGGGCAGCACGCATAGTGCGAGATCGAGTTGGGGTCCCAGTCCTTGTCGGTCGTCTTGATGTACTCGTCCAGGTCCTTGAAGCCGATGTCGAGCAGGCTGATACACGTTGGTCCGCTGCTCCCGACCCGCACCCAGTCTTGCATGCCGTTTGGACGCGTGACGGGCGTCCACAGGGGAATCTGGCCGGGACTGCTCTGCGTTCCGCCGTTGGGGGGGCTCCCCGTCCCAAGTGGGCAGACCTGGCTGTACGAGCACAATTGCTGGCCGTCATCAGCACAAGTGTCGCTGATGTTGCTCCAGGACTTGCCCGCGGAGCTTTTGAAGGTTTTGAAGGTGATGTTCACGGGTGGGATCGCCGGCAGCACGTCGAGCCCGGTGACGACCGAGGGCTCGATGCGGTCCCACTCGTAGGCCGTCTCGTAGTTCTTCATCGCGAAGGAGTTGCGAGGGAAGGCCTGCGCTGGGCTAGTGCCAACAAGCTGAGAGTCGTCCCAGTACAAGCAGGTCGGAAAGGAACACTCTTGTGCATTACACCATGGCGGGTAGGATGTTCCCGGCTTTGTGCTGCAGTTAACCGTCGGAATGTCGAGGTTGGTCCAGCCCGTGCCAAACAGACGGATGTCCTTGTTGTGCTCCTCGCAGCGCTCCGCAAGCTGCGCGCTCACTTGCATCATCGGGGGGCCCACGTCGACTTTGGCAAGTTCGGGGACTGTACGATGGGAGTCCCCAAAGTCGAGTTTGAGCATCCTTCAGTTTTGCTTCCGTCGATACTCGGGATCGGGCTCTGGCCAAACACACACTGCTGACATTGGTAGCGGGGCCAGCCATAGCCCTTGATGTTGAGGCTCCCATGATACTGATCGGAAGGATACGCAATCAAACGCTCTCGCCCTCCTTCACTAGCCGGGGCAGTCGGAGAAGGGGCAACTCCGTGCACTGACGGTCGGCCGTCAGAAACCACGCCTGCGTGGATCGCGTCACACCAATCCTCGCTACCCAACGCGGCCAAAGGATATCCACCTCGAGAACCTCGAGAGAACCTTCTCGCGAACCGCCCGCCACGGGCGCTTCGGAATCGCCGGTTTTCACTAACAGTAACACTATGAAAACTAGTTACGCAGCCAAGCGCCAAGGAGACTTCTTCGCCGAGGCCCGAGCGAGCCCGACTCCACACACATATGTGGAGCATCCACGCAGTCGCAGGCCTGATCTTGCTTGTGCCGTCGCTTTGTACAAGCTCTCTAGCTCTGGCAGCGCTCCAGTTCTCCACAGTACGCGCGCGCATCGTCCCTTCCAATGACTACGATGACTTGCCAGAGAGCTTGATCGACACATTGCCGCCGCCGTTGACGGGCTCATCGGCTTCCGAGTCGCTCAAGCGACAGCAAATGGCAATCGATCCGGGTGCTGGACGCCGCTTCATGAGCAACTCAGTTTAAGAGATTACTAATAGATACTAATTTATTCACAGCTGCGGCGAGCATGTAACCTATGTGCGGTGTGACCCTCGAGCCAACCCGACCGACCGACCGACCCCCCCCTCGGTCTGCGCTCCGACCGACCGGACCCCCCCTCCGCGCCTCCGGTCTGCGGTATTCCGCGGCCGCCGACCGGCCCCCCCCTGCGGTCGGTCGGTCTGCGCTGGGCGCTCAAACCGCGAAGTCGGCCTGTTCACTACAAGAAAGAAAGAAAGAAAGAAAGAAAACACACAACCCAAGGGAGGGATGGGAGAACGGCACGCCGCCACCACACAGGGATTTTAAGGAGAGGAGGGTGTGATGCGCTAGCCGTCGCCCACCCTGGGGGGTCTGCCTCCTCGTATCTCTTTTCGCAGTCTCTCGCCGCTTCTCGCTGCAACCTTCATGCCACCTCGCTACAATATGACGCTCATGTGTGCAACCGCGTTATTTTCTTCGACGACGTCATGCCGGCGCCGGTGACCTTGATTGAGCGAGCCGATGAACTCGTTCGCTGCTCTCCAGGACACTGACGCCGCCGACGAAGCAATTCGCGATGCGAGTGAGGGCTTCGACTGGCAGCGAGCAGCGGTATGCACTCAACATTCCATCTTGGTACTCGACGCCAGCGGCAGCATGCGAGAGGCGGACTGCCACAGTCACGGCCGCAACATTCCGCGCATTGAGGCGCTGTACGACGCGCTGCGCTGCGGTTTCGTCCAGCCGCAGCTCGACGCTGGCATCCCACCGTCCGAGCTCGTCTCCGTCGTGCGGATGCAGGACAGCGCGGATATCCTGCTGCAGTGTGCGCCGTTTGCGGATGTCGCCGACCTGCCACATTTGCAGCCCGCTTCACACGGCAACTACCTTCCGGCCCTCGCAAAGCTGCATTCCCTCATCCAGACGGTGGAGGCCGCCCGCGCGCAAGGCAGCGAGGCTGGACTGCCGGTGCCACCGACCATGAGCACCTGCGTGCTGTTTCTCTCCGATGGCCGGCCCTCCGATGTTGTTCTTGCGCGGGACCGCAAGAGCGAGACACGGGACCCGCGCCTTGTCAGCACGGCCGTCTGCTCCAGCGTGCGTCGGCTGTGGTACATGCTGAACGAGCGTGAGCGCGCGGCGTCGACGTTCCGATTCGTCTGCGTCGGCTTCGGCCGCGAGGACTTTTCGGTGTTGCGGAAGATGGTAGAGGACCTACCCAAGTCGGTCGGAATCTTTCGCGAGGCCACGCTCGACGAGGGATCGCTGCTCGACTCGCTGGCGACGTTCAGCGAAACGGTCACCTCGACTCGGCTCACGTCGACGGGCGGCGGACCCCGGGTCATGCGAGCCGTCGAGAAGCTCATGCACAGCGAGGACGGGACTCTGGTCGCCTTCTCTTGCTATCGCTGCGAGGTCTACCACGTGCCGGCCACCTGGTCGGCCAACATCGCTAAGGGCCAGCTGAGCAAGAAGCGGCGCGGACAGATCCAGCCTGTGCCAGGAGATCGGCTCGCCGCCATCTCAGATGGCTTCTTCGGCTCGGGCGGCGAGCGGAATGTCTTCCACATGCGACTCGCCACGCGCCGCTCCGGGCCGCGGCTGGACGAGAAGCAAATGTCGTTGTTCGACTTCGCCGTGGTCCGCGACGAGGTGGTGGGCTGGCTGAGTAACGCACGTATGTCCACGCCGCACCGTCCTTACTGTAGGCAGGCGAGAAGGTTCGGATTCAAGGGCTGACCGGAGCGGCGACGCAGGAGCTGAACGGCCTCCAGGGCACCCTCCGCGCGCGAGTCCTCGAGACAGGTCGCTTCTCGGTGGAGGTGGAGGTGAAGGTGAAGGAGCAGGGCCCATCGTTTGAAGACCGCTTGAAGGGGCACTTGAAGGGGCAGGCGGCCTGCACCGAGCGCACGGAGCTCACCAAGCGCAAGGTGCTGGCTCTCAAGCCCGAGAATCTGGTGGTGTTGCGCAGCGCAGCGAAAGGCGACACGTACCTCGACTGGGATTGGGCAGAGGAAGCCTATGTTGGAAAGGAGAACAGGCGCGTCGAGAGCACCGTGGAGCGGGAGGTCGAGTTCCACGAGCGAGCTCTGCTGACACAGGCTTCGGCGGCGGCGCTGGCAGAGGAGTTCAACCGCATCGTTGCCCAGAAGAAGCTCCCGCACAACGTACCCAAGGTGAGCTACTTGAGCGATTGCCTCTTCATCCAGGCCCAGCTCGACCGTGTCGGCAGCACCCACCTCAAAGGCCGGTTCTTCTTTGTGGAGGTGCTCGCAGCACCACAGCACTCCAGCACCTGCTCGTATCTGACGTTCCCATCCTGTGCACAGCGCCTGCTGCTCGGCAAGTATCGCAAGTGGAACACAAACTTTGGGACCGTGAGCCGCAAGACGATTTCTTCGCAGAGAGAGGCCTCTACAGTGGTGCAGGGCGGGCTCGGAGGTATCGTCGAGGAGGAGGAGCAGGAGGAGGAGGCGGAGGAGGAGGAGGAGGTTGACAACAGGCGGCGAGGATCAGATGGCGGGTGGGTGAACGAGCCGACGGCAGACGACGTGCCTCAGGCCTTTTCGCACTGGACCCACACCAAGAAGATGCAGGGCGGTCGAGGCGAGCAGGGTGGGCGCGTCATGGTGTGCGACGTGCAGGGGACCTTCGACGTGCCGACCAACACCTTCTCCCTCTCCGACCCGGTGATCCACTCAGACCTCTCCAGCAGGAGAGACAGCCACCGCTCCTCGAGCTTTGGCCGCACCGACCGCGGCGAGGCGGGCATCGATGACTTTCTCAAGACGCACAGGCGGAGGCCGCGGGACTGCCACACACTCGCCGGGTGTGTCTTGACCGTAGCGCCCGCTTGAATAGGTGCAACCCCTTGTGCAAGCTCCTCGGGCTCCCCGCGAATTTGCGGTTTGACCCTCGGGCGAGTGCTGTGAGCGCTTCGGAGCACTCGGATTTGCTCGACTCTTCGCGCAACACGTCGGCCTACACAATGCACAAGACGGACCACGCGAGCCAGCGCGGGCGAGAGCGCAGTTTCACGACGCGAGAGTGCCAGGCGGCCGTCAAGCACGGTGCGAAGACGCCGCTGCGCGAGGGGAAGGTCGCTCACGACCACGACGGGTTGCGTATCGTGACAGACGCCACGCACAAGATAGCTGTGACCGGCTTCCAGCGCGACGATCCCCTCGCCTCGAACGCCCGGCCCGACCTGCTCAAGACGCAGCTCTGTTCGCGGTTCCAGCGCGACGGCTGCTGCGCAAAGGGGGCCAACTGCTGGTTCGCGCATGGAGTGGGCGAGCTGCGGCGCCGCGGTCCGCCGCCGCCACAGCCTTCGCCGCCTGATGCGGCGACGGCGGTGGCCACCGCTGCGCAGCGCGAGTCGTTGTTAGCTCAGCTGAAGCTCATCTCGCCAGAGCAGATGGCGGCGCTGCCGGCGGAGCAGCGGGCGCAGGTGGAGGCCCTGCTCAGGGCGCAGTAGAGTGCGCGTGTGGCCAAAGAGATGCAGGCCAGCCTGAGTCCCGTCTAGCGTGGCCCGCCGAGGCTGAGCGGCAGCGTCCAAATACGTTATAACGCACCGCAGCGTAGTGCGTACCTGACTGAGTGTGTTGAGATGTTTCATCTTGTTTGGTTGTTTGAAAGAATGTTTGATGTGCATGTGCATGACACACATGCACATGCACATGCACATGCACATGCACATGCACATTGCCCATCATGCACATGCCCATCATGTCATGGACAATGTGCATGTGCATGTGCACGTGCATTGTGCTGAGGAAACATATGGAGTTTTAGGGGCCCTGTATATAGGCGAGCGCCCCGCCGCCGACGGCGCGCGCACTCGGGCCTGAGGCGAGGCCGCCAGGCCGCCACCGGCGCCTCGTCTCGTCTCTCGTGCCTCCGGGCAAGCAATCCACACACGCGCAGCGCTCGCCTCACTCGCCCTTGCGCGTGCGCATGCCGTGGCGTGCAATCAGCGGCCGCGCTCCCCCCGCCGCGCCGCCGCCGCCAATCATCGATAGCTGCGGCGGACGTGCGGTCTCGACGCCACCGCCTGGCCCCCTGCTCCGCCTCCGCCCGCTGTGCCGAGCAGCAGCAGCTCCGCCGCCTCCGCCTCCGCCTGCACCTGCGCCTCCGCCACCCGCCGTGGCGGCGCAGAAAGCGTGGCTAGGAGTGAGCACGAGACGCGCCGAGCGGCGCCAGACACCCGCGGCTCCACCGATCCCAGCGGGCGGAGCCGGTGCAATGCCGCCTCCTCCGCCCGCGCGGCTGGGCGGCGCCTGCGGCGAGGTGAGGTAAACCCTCTCCTCACACAAGCATGGCAGTGGGGCAAGGGCCGGGCGATCCCTCGCGACTCCACGTCTAGACGACAGGAGCCCAATGGCATTCAACTGCAAGGCCCGGTGCGCGTGGGTGAGCGGCGTGTGTGTGTGTGTGTGTGGTCTGCGTGCGTGTGTCGCGCCTGCGGCGAGGCCAGAGAGAAGCGCGACACCGGCGACGGCGCTGGAGACGGGGCGCGCGACGGCACTGCCTTCGCCGCCGCCGCCGACGGCGAGGGGAGGGGGGATCGCCCTCGCCTCAAGGATCTTTGCGGTCAGTCGTTGGTAGTCAAGCGGATGCGGGCGTGTTAGGCGGCCACGCCTCGACCTTCTTGGGCAGCAGCTGATTCGACAGGTCCTCTCCGTGGCCTAGGCAGCCGTGGTCACCCTTGCCCCAGGTGAAGACGGCGCCGTCGGCAGTGAAGGCGAGGTTGTGCACGACCCCAGCCGACACAGCGACGACGCGCTGGCCAGCAATGGCCTCGATCTTCTTCGGCAGCAGCTGGTGCTGCTCGTCGCCGTGGCCCAGCCTGCCACACCCTCCATGGCCCCAGCTCCAGACGGCACCACCGGCGGTGGTGGCGAGGCTGTGCCCGAATCCAGCCGACACAGCGACGACGCGCTGGCCAGCAATGGCCTCGATCTTCTTGGGCAGCAGCTGGCGCTGCTGGTTGCCGTGGCCCAGCTGGCCGAGACCTCCACTGCCCCAGCTCCAGAGAGCGCCGTTGGCGGTGAGGGCGAGGCTGTGTTCGCGTCCCGTCGACACAGCGATGAAACGCTGGCCAGCGAAAGCCTCGACCTTCTTCGGCTGCCACTGGGGCTGCTCGTCGCCGTGGCCTAGCTGGCCAAAGTGTCCAAAGCCCCAGCTCCACACAGCTCCGTCGGCGGTGAGGGCGAGGCTGTGGTGGCCTCCAGCCGATAGACCGACGATGCGTTGGCCAGCAAAAGCCTCGACCTTCTTCGGCAGCAGCTGGTGCTGCTCGTCGCCGTGGCCCAACTGGCCCCCGTCTCCAAAGCCCCAGCTCCAGACGCTGCCGTTGGCGGTGAGGGCGAGGCTGTGCCCGAATGCGACCGAGACAGCGACGACGCGCTGCCCGGCAAATGCCTCGACCTTCGTGGGCAGCAGCTCGTGCTGGCCGTCGACTCCCCAACCCCAGCTCCAGACAGCTCCGCCGGCGGTGAGGGCGAGGCTGTGGAAATCTCCAGCCGACACGCTCACGGCGCGCTCACCCAGCGTCGACGGGAGTAGGGTTGGCGTGATTAGCCGCGTGACGCCCGCGCCGTGGCCGAGGAGGGATGGGTGGAAGCTCGGCGCTGAACCGCACGACGAGAGCCGCCCCTCGCCGTCAATGAAAAGGCTGTGATGTTCGCTTGCGGCCGCCCTCGCCGGCGGGTTGGACTCGCACAGCAGCGCAGCGAAGCACAGCCACCGCACGGCGCAGCCCTCGCCCTCCGGCTGCGCCGGCAGCTCGAAGCCGCGCTCTTGCGCCCACAAGCGGATGGCCTCCACCACAAGCGAGGCGTGAAAGAGCAGCGAGACGGCCGCGACGCGGGCGATGTCGACGGGGCTTTCGCAGCGAGAGAGGGCGCGGACGAGGAGCTCCGTGGGAAGGTCGAGGAGGCGGGCGGGCGGTGGCGTGCTCGGCGAGGGAGCGGCGGTGGAGGCGGGGGCGGCGAGGCGGCGCGAGCGGCGCGGCGGCGGCGGGGTGGACATCGCAAGTCCAAGAAAAACAAGAAAAACAACTGAATTTTCCTTCTTTTCCGCAGCGCAAGTCCCCACATCATCGCGCCATGCAGGCCCTGTCCCGCGTGGGCAGCCTCGCCTCGCGCGCCGCGTCCGCGCATCGCACGTCGCCGCCGCCCCTTCAAAGTGCGACGGCTGCGCGCAGCGGCGCAGCGACGTCGAGAGTCGTGATTTCTGGGTGTACGGTCGGCGACTTGCGCGACATCTCGAAAAAAATTCCTTCTTGGCTCTTGAAAAAATTATAATAGGCACAACAGTGTCAAGGCGCGTGTGCTCTTAAGGTTGTGTGTCTGCCAGACTCTTGTCACGGGAAAAATAAGCTCACCGCCTGGTGCACCGGGGGCCCGATGTGCAGCCGACCGGCGGCGCCAGAGGCGGCGCCAGCGCTCTCCACTGGGCGGCGAGGGCGCCGTACGCCGCGCACTCGCGCGCCACCCTCTCCTCCAAGCCAGCCGTCCCGCTCCGCGCCGTCGGCAACAGCGGCGGCGCGGGGCCAGCCGCCGCCGCCTGTGCGCCATCCTCGAGCGCCTCCAGCGCGAGGGTGCGCCACCGGGCGGCAACCACGCCAAAGGCGGCGCACTCGCGCGCCACGCGCTCCTGCAGCGAAACGACGGGTGGGCCGCCGCCCCCGCCGCCGCCGCCGCCGCCGCCGCCCTCGCTCCCGCCGCCCCTGCCGCCGCCGCCACCACCACCACCTGCCCTCGGAGCCGTCCCACTGGCGTCGTCAGGGCTGGCCTGGCGTACTCTTGGCCCTGCAGACATCGCCACCGCTGCGGCCGACGCCCCCGCTCCCGCCCCTCCCGCCGCCGCCGCCCCTGCCGCCGCCGCCCCGGCCGCCCCCCGCCGCCACATCCACCACGCCTCGGCGAGAGCGGAAGAAGGCCGGTGCGCCTCCGCGCCATGCCCGCGCGCCTCGCCTCCGACGCGATCGCGGAGAGCGCGTGCCCTCCTGCTACCCGCGCGGATCTGGAAGGAGATCTCCGCCAAGCGCGCCATGTGGGCGGCGGCCGCAAATGCCGCGGCGCCGTCCAGCCAACGTCGCAAGCCTTGCCGACAGCGCCGCGCGCAGACTGCGGCACGCGCCGCCGCCGCAGCCTCACCCGCCGTCGCCCGCCGAGACGCGAGGCACCGCCATCGCTCCAGTGCGCAGCGCATCGCCACCAAACAGGCAGCCGCCGCGGTGCGACGACCGATCTGGCCGAGAGCTGCCTCCGAGCGGCCAGACGCTCTCCAGCGGCGAAACGCGGCGCGCCGCCTCCTCGCAGCGACCGCCGCCTCCGCACGCAGCAGCCTCCGCGAGAGGGCAGCGAGGCCGCCTCCCTGCCGCGCCCACACACAGAACGCGCGCAAAGCCGAGAGCCGCTCCCGCCGCCGCGCGACTTGAGACCCGGCACCCGCCGCGCCGCGCCACGCCGCCGCGCGCCGCCGCCAGAGCCGGAGCGCGCGAACCGCGCGGTGTGCCCTCCCCGTCTGAGCCGCAGACTGGCGTGACCGCACGCCTCGCAGCGCCGTCACCCACCGCCGAAAGCACCGCCTCTGCGCGAGGCGGCGGCCGCACCGCTGCACCGCCTCCCCCTGCGCTGCCGCCGCCGCCGCGCGGAGATGCCACGCGGCGAAGCGGCGCTGGCGGCCGCGCTGGCGGCAAGCGCGGTCGGCGCGAGAGTCGAGCAGCGCCGCGCCGAGGCCGGAGACGACCGCCCTCGCCCACCGACGAAGAGCAGCGTGCATCGCCTCCCTTATTCGCGCCTGGAAGCGGGCGTGAGAGGAGCGGCGCAGAGCCGCTCTGGAGCCTTCGGAGCGCCGCACGGCGTGGGCCCGCATCGCCCTCCAGCCTCGCCGCAGCTGCATCGCGCGCCCAGCCGCCGCTGCGAGCCCGCACTGCGCGCCGCGCGCCGCGCCAGCGACTAGGGCGGCGGCAGCGCGCCGCAGCCGTGCGACGTCTCGCCGTCGGCCGAGCGCCTACGTAGTGGAAGACTGCGGATCACAACGTCGAATCCCCTCCAAGGTGAGACGCAGCCGCCGACCGAACGCCTGCGCAGCGTCGATCCGGCCCAGTGCTGCGTTTGTAGACGCGGCCCACCGTTCCACCGACCGCCGCAGCCGCCCCGCGCGCCCCCGCGCCACCGCCGCGCCCGCGCGCCTCACGCAGCTGAGGTGGAGAGAGCACCAGGCCGCCCAGCGCCGAAGCGCGCGGAGGCGGGAGCGCCGCGAGCTCCGGCGGGAAGCCATCTCGCTGCGCAGCCTACTCTCGCGCCTCCCCACCGCCGCCCGACTCCACCCAAGCAGCACTGCCGCAGCAGCCGACTGGCGCCACACCTCGCCCGCCGCAGTTGCAACCGCCGCCGCAGCCTCCGCCTCCGCCGCGGCCTCGGCCTCCGCTGCGGCCTCGGCCTCCGCCTGCTCCGCCTCCGCCGCCAAAGGCGCAGCCGCAGAGTGCTCTGCCTTCGCCGCAGGCGGAGGAGGAGCGGCGAGCTCTCGGACCTCCTCTGCGCAGCCGCGGAGCGCCGTCGAGAGACCCGAGAGAGCTGCGCTCGAGGGATCGCCGCGCGCCGCCGCGAGCAGCTCGCAGGCCCAGCGCTCGGCCTCATCTGCCGCGTCGCTCATGAGGGCACCGGCCGACTCAGCGGCGGCGAGCTCCTCGCGGCGGCCAAGCAACGGGTTTAGCGCTAAAGAATTTTGACTCGCAGAGTCTGTGAGGCCGTCCTCCCATCCCTCCCTTGGGTTGTCTGTTTTCTTTCTTTCTTTTTTGTGAGGCCGCCATCGGGAGGATATGCCGCGGGCGCGACCCGGGCCTCGCTGAGGTTGGCCGCCACGAGCGCCGAGAGAGCGAACCGGGCGGCTCCACAGAACGACCCTGAAGAAAAAGAATTACACGTGGCTGCTACCTCTCGCCTGAGTGCTGAACCTCTCATCTGGGATGGCGTCCACAGGATCGTCGAGGAAGCTAAGCAAGCGAGCCTGGAACGCGATCGAACTGCGAGATGAGATCTGCGTGGGCCACCGCACGGGAGATGGTTTGCAGCTCGAAACGCACGAGTCCCAATGGCGAAAGAGAGCGATTGAGTTGTCGGAGGTCCTCGCTGAGTTCCAGAAATTACCACGGCCGCTCAGCAGCGACGACACTTTCCTTCTCCACAAAATCCACTACTCCCATCAAGGGCGCAGCGGCTCGCTGAGGACGAGGCTGCCTTTGACGCCATCACGCAGGACGCACTGGCGCGAGAGATAATGACTGACGCCGAACACGACGTGCTGACCGACCGGCTCGCGAGCGGACATGCAAGCTTTGGCGCGATAGTGAACAAGCTCCTCGAGACGGGCACCGGGGTCGAGCTGACTGGCCTGAGCAAGGCGCCTGAGTGAGGGAGTGAGAGTCACGGTGAGAGTGAGTGGGTGATTGTCAGCCATCGCTCTCTCTCCCCTCAAGGCGCCGCAGCTCAACGGCCGGCGCGCCGTCGTCATCGGCCGGCGCACCGCCAATGGGCGTTTCCCGGTACGCTTGAGCGGCCGCGAGGCGGTCAAGGTCAAGGCGGCGTCGCTGCGGCTTTTGCAGTCTACGGACAGGCACGCAGCCCTCGCCGAGGCGCCGCTGGCAGTGTTGGACGATGACGCGCTCGCCGCCGTGCTTGCTGCGGTTGTTCACTCTGGCTTACCGGCCAGCGGTCGGTGGGGAGTAATCAGCCGCAGGCTAGATGTGCCAGTTCTTCTCGGCGCCGCCCGCGCCACGTGCCGGCTCTTTGACGCGATGCTTCGCGAGCGTATTCTTGGCGCTGCGGCACGCATTCGCGCAAGCATGTTCCGCGCGCGCGCCAAGCGGGAGCTCATCCGCCTGCAAGAGGGCATGGTGCTACAGGAGTATGAGCTGTGCCGGCCCGGCTGGCGCAAATATGACGCGGACCACCCCGTGTGGTCTCTCGAGCCGGCACTCACGCATTCGGGCTGGGCGGCCATTCAGGGCACGCGGCTGAGCGAGGGCGACACGCGCCACGTCGAGATGTTCTCGAAGGCCGAGGCCGAGGCCGAAGGATACGAGCCGCATGTTCCAGGTGGCGAGCTGTTGCATGCGCCGGACAACTTCAAGAAGATCGAGAAGAAGCACTCGGACGACTTCTACTCGTCGCCGCCCTTCAAGGAGCTCAACCCGCTGTTGCGCTCGTACAGGATCGCGCACTCCTACTCTGAGGATTCGCTCCAGCATATGGGCCTGTGATGGGGGAGAGCGTGAGAGAGGGAGGGAGCTGGCGAGGTACTTCCAGCCTGCTGTGGGAACAGCTTGCACTGTCTCGCCGACGCTCGCCCCACATCCGGGGTTGACTATTGACTCGAATTGGATGGCGCGCCAGTGTCCCGTGCCCCCAGTGTTGTGTGCGAGGAGCATTTGGTTGGAGCACTTGAGTGCGGTCGTTAACTGCCGATGCCGGATAGGGGTGTTTGTGCGGGGCTTAAAGAATTTTACACCAAAGTCTCACAAACCAGTAATGCACAAAATCGTACACACGTGCACGGCACGCGCGAGGGCGAGCGTGCAGTGAGGCTTGGAGGCGCTGGCCGAGCCCTCCCCGGGCTCTCAGGCCGCGCCTGTCTTGCGACTGGAACCTCCAACCGTCGACCTCCTTGCTGAGGAGCGGCCCGAAACAGCTATGCGAACCGGGCCGAAGGGGTCGATAACCTCCGCGGTGTCGTTACCGGCCTCCACGTCCTTCGGATCGGCGGGCGCTTCCGGAGCTGCCGGCCCATTGTAGATGTAGATCCCGCAAAGCATGCCGAGCATGCCAACGAGCTGGAACCAGGACGCGGTCGTCCAGTGCTCGCCGTACTCGCCCTCAGAGAAGAGGTAGTAGATGGACAGGTTCGTGGCCCACAGGGCGACTGGGCATTGCCGCCCCGCTTGAGAGGCCAAAGGAGAGGGAGATGAGCGCCACGCCGAGATACTTGTGTTTCTCGAACGGCTTTCCGATGCGCAGGAGGATACGAAACGCGGAGACGAAGACAATGCAGGTGGCCCCGCTCAGCTGGTACATTGACCCGCTCACGTACATGAGCCCAGCGTTGACCGCGATCGTCGCAAATACGTCCAGGCAAGCGAGCGGCGCAAGCTTGAGGATATAGTTACGCGGCAGAGGGCTCGGCGCCACGGAGAGGCCGCTGGTGCAGTAGTGGGAGATGTAATGCAGCGGCCAGAACGGCACGAGGGAGACGAAGGCGAGGAGGCTGATGAACACCGGCTTTGAGTAGTGCGCCATCTCTCCCACGCTATTCGTGACCTCGAGTTGGTACATCAACTTGGCAGAGAGCGTTGAGCCGGTGCCACAGGCGAGGGCGAGTACAAAGACGGCGACCGCGGCGAGACTAGCAGGCATGCTTCGCATCGGTGCTGGGTAACGGCGGCACGCTAGAGGGGTGGCCGAGCCGAGGTTGCTTCCCGTCCTCGTTCGCGTCGACGTGGCAAAGGGCGGGGACGTGCGAGTTTTGCTCCTTGTAACACATCCCGTTCGAACCACTGCCCCCCCTCCCTGCAAACGCGCACCCCCAGGGCTAGGTCTCTCTAGCCCGTAATCCGATACCGATCATCCGGCCCGCTGGGTGCGCTTCTTACTCGTAGCTCCCCGGCCCTGGGTGTGAGGTGTAGGTTAATGACGTCACTCCAAAGTGCTCCAAGTGCACTGCACACAAGCTCCAAAAGATTTAAAACCCCGAATGAGACCCCCGCACAAACACACCTATCCAACGGATGTTGGGCGAGCGTCTGCTGGAGCGTGCGCGATCCTGTGATGGAGGCTGCTTGACATTCGCGCCCCGTGCCGAGGGCGAGGCCTCTAGGGTCAAGTCTCAAGATAAAAGGAGGCGATAAAGAGGGGAGAACAGCCGTCGGCCTTTTCATGGAAACTAAGCCTGGCGGCGTCTCTGCCGCACTCAAAACGAATCCTTGTCCATGGCCGCCCTGATCCGTCGGTTCCGCACGTTCCCAGAGCCGCAGCCTCCCGCGGAACTGCTGAGCAACGCCGCGGCCAACGAGCGCGTGCCTTGGTGGCGGCGGGGCGGTATGGGTCTTTTCGAGCACGGCGCAATGCGATCGTGCTGCAGTATCACCTCGTGTACTGCGACACGCTACTACTGCGCGTGGCGGCTTCCGTGTTGAGCTTCGCCTCCTTCCGCGAGGGCATCCAAGACCGGCGACGGCTCGGTGGTCGCGTCGATCCTCATGCCTCTCTACATTTTGACGGTCGCGTTTGGTGTGCTGCTGCCGCGGCCGTTGGTCACCATCGGTGCGGCCTTCTTGCTGGCGGGCGTGAAGCTGGGCGTGTGCATGTCAGTTTGCTTGCACCGCTGGGCCGCCCACGGCGCGTTCTCGTGCTCCTATCCTTTCGCCGTCGTTCTCTCGGTGCTCGGCTGCCTCGCCACGCAGGGCGGCCCGGTGTGGTGGGGCTCCAAGCACCGTGTCCATCACGCATACTGCGAGAAGGCGCGCGACCCGCACAGCCCGCGGTGGCGCCTTTTCGTGGTATGCGCCTTTTCGTGGTTCGGGAAGGAGAACAAGTACGTGGACCTCGAGCACGTGCCGCTGCACCTCGAGGGCACGCTCCTCCTCCTCATCAACACGTACTCGTTTCTCCCAACCCTCGTGGAGCTCGCTTGCGCGTTTCGCTACTTCGGCGTGACCGGGCTGTACATATCGTACGTGGCCGGGGCGCTCTGCAAGGTGGGCTCAGACACTCTGGTTCAACGTCACCAACCACCCGCCCGAGCAGCCCGTCGACAACCGCGGCTGCGGCGCCGTCGACGACGTGCATAAGTAGGGGCTGCAGACGCCGAACGTCTTCTTTGCGATGGTGCAGGAGGTGACGTGGCCATACACGTTCCTCATCGGTGAGGCGGCCCCCACGACCACCACCACGTCCACCCGGCGCTCGCCCACCGCCCCGGCGGAGTCGACCTGCCCTACTACTTCTTCATCCGGCCACTCGAGGCCTGCGCGGACTCGTCTGGGGCGTCAAGCACTACATGCGCGCGGAGCACAAATGGGAAGGCGCCACAGCGGGAGGAAGCAAAGGACACCCTGAGTAGCCACTCGGTGAGATCCCGTGGTCGCGCTCGCGGTGTTCCGACTCTCTCGGTGTCGGGTGTGTCCCCGGGGCGGGGCCCGGGGGGGGGGGGGGGGTCGCGTCACCAAAAGACGTGGCTGAGTATCGGGCGCGTTGAAATACTTGATTGTGGGATTTTCGATAGCCTTGCACGCCAACACACTCTCGCACACAGGCGCGGACAACCCGCGCAGCGCGTGCGCAGACGAATTGATAAATACCGTAGACCATGCACCGTAATGCGTAAACTCGTGCATCAAGCACAGACAGGGGCACTCAAGCCCCTCGCAGTTCGCGAGGCAGCGCCGCCCTCAGCCGCCAGCCTCGACCTGCTCGTCATCGACGAGGGGGAAGACGTAAAACTCGAGGAAGACGTTGCTGCACGACGCCATGTCGCTCGGGAACTTGCACATCAAGTAGAGCAGCCCTACAAGCGGCACGGAAGCTCACCGCGGCTCGTGCCGCACTCCCTCCTCGGGCCGCGCGCCTTGCGAGTCGATCTTGAGGCACGTCTCGTCCGACTCGCGGATGGAGCGCAGCGCGAGATGGACGAGCGAGAAGCGATAGTCGAACTCAAGCTCCTCGGCCGCCTGTTGCGCGCGGAAAGGGCGCCGTCGGGCTCAGCCCGAAATGCGGCGGCCCCTCCGCTCCCTCCACGCACCTCGAAGTGGACGAGGCTCTCCGGTGGGTACGCCATCTCGCAACCCAAGTCGACCGAGCTCACCTGCTCGCACCGCAACGGCCGCGGGTGAGCAACGGTCCAGTGGGGCGAGAGCCGGCGGCGGCGGCCGGGAGCCGTCAGCGAGAGCTGCGGCGGGTCAAGCGCGACGCGGAGGCAGAGCCGCTTGTCCTTCTGGGCGCCTGAGGCGCAGCGGACGCACGTCTCAGTGCTTGGCGCGGCCAGCTGGGAGAGAGGGACGCCGCATCGCTGGGGACGGCCGCCACTGGCGCTGGTGGTGGCACTGGTGGGTGGGTGGGGTGGAGGGGACGCCGCGCTCGCGCAAGCACGCGCGCCCGTGTCGCCGCCCCACTCCAGCTCGGCGATGCCGTCATGCAACGCGTCCGACTTGATCACGATCCGCACCTGAGCGGCCGTGGCTCTCGCAGTCCGCCCGCCTCGCGAGACGTGGCGTGGCCGGGGGGACGGCGGGGCTCGCACCGGCGTGTGGCTGTCCATGAGGATGGGCTCGGCGGGCTCGACGTCCATGGTGTGCAGCATGCACTGCGTCACCGCCGTCCCGTCGACCAGCGTCAGCATCAGGCACCTGCGGCCGGGCGCGCAGCTCGGGGGCGGCAGCAGGCGCAGGGGCGGCCTGCGCGGGGCGGGGCGCACGACGTCTCTTCGCGGAAGGAGAGCTGCAGCGTCGCCGGCTTGTCGAGCCCGCCTGGGCAGCACACAACCGACCTCACCGGCCAAGCAGGGACAGGGCCCCGGCAAGAGGGGCGTGGCGCCTGAGCCGCCCCCGCCGAGGATGCGCAGGCACTCGACGAGCGTCGAGAGGTTGAGACCAAACTGGAGCGGCTCGTGCTCCTCGCTGGTGGAGTAGTGCGCCTCCGCCTACGGAGCACGCGCAGCTCGCGCAGTCGACGAGGCGGGCCGCGCCCCGCGAGCACGACGGGGCGTCGCGCACCAGCTGCCACTCGTGGAACAGGCCGCGCTTCATGTATGCGCTCGCCTGCGGACGCCGGAGTGTGGGCGGTGTCACGTGCCGCGGTAGAGGGGAGCGACGTCGCTCTCGCACCTGCAGGCTCTTGGCCTCGTTGACCGTGAAGTTGATGCCGTGCTCAGACACCTGGCACCAGCAGATGGGCCCGCCCGACGCCTGGTATGCGCGCCGCCGCGGCGTGAGACGCGGGAGTGGACGAGGTGGCGTGGTGGCGGCCCGCCTGCGACTTTGAATCCGACTTGAGCAGCAAGCACTGGAGCATGGTGGTGACCACCTTGGTCGCGTCCGTGCGGCAGTCGAGGGAGGGAGACGACGGGGCGGCGTCCATTGCGCGCAGCAAGCGTGGTAGTTCCGAGACTCTAAGGACACATCATGGCGAAGGGTGAGGGGAGGGCGAGACGTCTCTGGGTGGAAATCTCTCTCCCCGGGCAGATGGAGCGTCGTCCAGCACCGTGCAGAGCGGCTGAGCCCACCCGGCGGGAAGCAATCGAAAAGAATCCTTCCTCAAGTCAACGAGCCTCGGCCAGGCTCTACCGCATCTCCTCTACCTCTCTCCTCGACAATGCATTCAACATCATCCTCGTCACCAGTTTCTCCCCCGAGATTGTCATCTCCTTCCTCATCACTAGACGAATCTCCCTCATTTCTCAACGTCCCTTCCCCTCCCCCTCCCTCCTCTTCCTCCCTCTCAACTTCGTCATCCCATATCTCTCTCAACCTCATCTCTCCCTCCTCCTTCCTCGTCGTCACCTACCTCGTCACCACCGTGGATCGTGCCAACAAGCTGTTCACGCTCGCAGCGCTCTGCATCGCACGTACGTGCCTTCGAAAGCCACACAAAGACACGTTAGATAGATGGAGACGAAGAGACCAGGGAGGCGAGGCGAGGCGCCGCCGCGGCGGACGATGGTCGCGTGGGTCGGCAGGACGGCGCCGGCGGGGCTCTCGACGGGGATGCCGCCGACGGTGGTCCTGGCTCTGCGGGTTGTGCGGTAGCGGGTACGCGAGGCGGCGCGGTCAAGGCCATTGATGGAGGCGCCGCCGGTGACGAGGAGACCAGGGAGGCGAGGCGAGGCGCCGCCGCGGCGGGCGATGGTTGGATCCAATCTGGATCCAGCTCCAGCTTCCCCCCCATCGCTGTAGTCGAGTAGCGCTGGAGGATTTGGATTGGGTGCAACGGGTTGCTGGCAGACTGGTTGCGTGGCGACGCAGTCGGAGCCACCGAGGCAGGCGACACTGGCGACGAGGAGGCCGTGGTAGAAAGGCGAGGCGGCGCGGTTGCCGATGGCGATGCTGCGGGCGCCCCTCCGGCAGGCGAGCGCGGCGGCGATAACGCCGCCTGGGCGGAGTGTGCTGTTGCGATGTGCACGGCTGGCGGGGAGCGGAGCGTCGCGAGGAGGGCCATCGGTGCGAACCCGGCCCAAGCTGACCGCGCTGGCAGTCGATATCGGATGCCCGGCGGCGCGGAGATTGGCAGCCACGTCGCAGGTGGGCGCCTTGACGGCGGAGGCGGCGCCGGCTGAGCCGTAGGCAGAGATGCTGTTGGTGCGGCTGGTACCTTGCAGTCGAGGCAGTGGTTGCCCGTCGAGGGCGACGGGAGTGTGCCCGACGATGAAGGCAGAGCCACTCGCGTAGCTGCCGACGCCGGCGACAGCGAGGGCGACGAGGGCGAGGGGTCCGCCGCCGGTGGAGACATCGGCGGGGCCCACAGTGGTAGCGATGCGCGGCTCCCCTCTGAGCGGTGAAGAGGGCTCAAGTCCAGTGGCGTTGCCGGCTGCTGCGTCGACGAGCGAGCCGCTGGCCGAGCCGACAGCGACGTCGGCGAGAGGGCCGATGGCGGGGTCGCGGCCGGGGTTGTCGCAGTTGACTTGGCTGCGGTGAGCATCATGAGGCTTGCGAGCGAGATGCGGAGGAGATGCAGCATGCAACGTCGCTGGCGGCGCGGTTGGTTTGCAGAAGCTCCTCGGCGCGTGCTCGGGCGCTGGAGGTCGGTGGCAGGAGCCAACCGGACCGCGTCCGTTGCACAGGGGAAAGAGTGAATCGCAAGCGGTGTGCGAGAGAAAGGCGGGGATGAAGATTGCGAGCATTGAGCGGATGTGTTGGATAGCGTGTTGGGGGTTCCAAAGGGCTGTTCGTGAACAGACGACGCTGCCACGTTCGGCCGGGGCGTCCTGGGCGGGCAAACGCCCGCCCCGGCGGCCGACTCTGGGATTGTAGGTCGAGTCTTGGTGGTACGGAGACGGTCACGAGACGGGACGGACGGGACCTCCGGACTCTAGGACGACGCCACGGGACTCTAGGAGAGAGAGTGTGAAGGGAGTCTGGCGGGGCTTTGGCCCGACGGTGCTAAGGCAGGATCTCCGCAGACAAGCCCTAGCATCCGCGGAGGAGAAGGATGGACACCAGGAGATGCGGGTAAAAGTCTCATGGTGTGCCTAGCTGGCACCGCGGCGGAGTAGGCCGGTGATTATGATCAGTGTAGAGCCTCCTCGGAGGCGGAGAAAGCCTCAGCATGTTACATGAGGCGCCCATGCCAAAGAAGCGCAACGCTGGAGGTGGGGAGCACGCCCAGCCCTTGCCGCTTGAGTCGAACCAGAGAACGACTAACCGCAGAACGTCAAAGTTACATGCGCGTCGCGGGCACGCAGCCCGCCGGGCACCCAATGGGGGCAAACAGGAGCTCGCGTTGCATGCTTGGAGTGCAGGTCGACCCGTGGGGGCCCGGCTCGCAGCCGGGCGGGCAGGCGGCAATGCAGCCGCTGCGTCGGATCTCGGGCGGGTGGACGCTTGGGAAGTGCGGGGTCTGGACGGCGTCGCAGAGGCAGCTGAGAAGTCCGCGCACACACTCGAGGATGCAAGCGGGCTTCGAGAGCATGAGCTGCGAGACGCACGTTGCGAAGCCGGCGTCCTTACCTGGGCACTCCGCTGTGGCGGCCATGAGCTCGCCGTGGCTGATCGCACGGTTGCTGTCGGTGTCCACGAGGTCGAGCGCCACGGAGCCGTAGATGCTGAGACCCCCGTGTGTGGCGAATCCCGGCAGCGTTTCGAGATCCTGCAATGAACAGGTCTGCCATTGGCCTTCAGGAAGAAGCGCCGCCCTCAGGCTGACGTCGTCGTCAATCACTTCAAGTAGCGTTGTGAGCTCCTGCTCCGAGATGAAGTCGGTGTCGGGGGTAGTCCACCGGGGGAGCCGAGAGCAAATTGGCGTAGGTGCGGGCGCCGGGTCTCCGCCTCCATTTTCCTCTCCGACGGAGGCAAAGAAAAGGGACGGAGGCGGGCCACACGGATCAATGGATCCGGTGATATTGGGCGGGCCTGCCGTCTCGCCGGCCTCGTAGCAGAACGGGTCTACGTCCTTCGCGCCTGGCCATGTCGTCCCCTCTTCGCCCGTGATATTCAGAACGCCCATCATGCCTTGGTCCTCATGGCTGAGAATGTGACAATGCCAAATCTGGGTGCCGTTGAAGAAATCCGTCACGGAGCGCACGTCGAGCTTGTCGCGAAGGGGGAGCAGGAGAGTATCCTGCCAGTCTCCCGCCTTGAAGTATGCTCCGAACCGCCTTTGAACGTGTTTGAAGAGGTTCCGATAGTCCTTCTGCCCAAAGAACTTGAGAAGCCGAGTGAGGCCTTCTGGATCCATTGGGTCGCCTTGCAGCTGAAACGGATTGATGTGAAGATGAAAGGGATGGATGCCGATGCCAGAGAGTTTGATCTCGATTGGCTGTCCAACAGGCGGGGTGGCGTCGGCCTTGCTCTGACCCTCAAAAGTCAGCTTCTTCCCCCGTGGCGAAGAATACCACGGAGGGGCAAAAATGGGGGGAGAGCCGAGTGTCAGGTCAATACTCGTGTGGTCACGCTCGCTGAAGGCGGACTCCTTCTGCAAGTCGACGTTCTGCAAGTCGACGAGGTAGCACGGGCGTGCAACCTTGAACGTGGGGAGATTGCATTTGGTCACATTGCGTTCTGCCTTTGCATGGAGTGTCATAAGTGACTGGTTTACCGTGCTGTGGGCGCCGTGCGTAAGTCGGTCGATAAGGTTGACGGGAAAGGGGGTGAAGCCAAAAGTAGTGAACTGGTGTTTCCCCTCGGGACAATTCACAAGAACATCAGCCCGGCTGCCCGGAGCCATGAGTCCCTGCTCGATCTTCCTTGGTGCTTCATTCAAGATTATCCCATCCTTGGACAGCAGGAAGAGCTTGCACTGCTGTTTGTCGTCCCACGTCCGATTCTTGACAAGACAATCCATTGGCGGGGCAGTCCAAATTCCAGTGACAGAATCCTTATTCCAATGGCAGAATCCAAATTCCAGCACCTTCTCGACGGCGGCGAACAGCAGCCGCCAGCGATACCACACGTTGGCGACGATTTCAAAGTCGGGTTTGAGGTCGCCGTTGATGAGCACGAGGCTCTGCTTCGCCTTTCTCTTGGTCCACTCATTGTTTGCGTCTGTTGGTCCTGGTGCCCACACGCCGAGTCCATCTTGAGGCGCTCCATTGTCTGCGGCGTCGACGTTCCCTTTGCCGCCCTGGCCGTCCTGGCAGGTCTTGGCGAGCGGGTGGTTGAGGCACGTGGCGTGCTTTGAGCTCACCTCACGGCCTTCGAGGAAATTGTAGCGCCAGCCTTGGCCGATGCGGTTGTAGTGCCAGCCTTGGTCGATAGGGTTGTAGTACCAGCCTTGGTTACAGAATTCCGAGTTTAGAGGGCAAATCTTCGAGTTCGGGTCCTGCGGAAGAAGCGCGGCAGCCCCGAGGCTGGGGGCGGCAAGATTCGCATGGCATGATAGCTCGCAAGAGGGCCGGCGTAAAAGGCCACACTTCTTACAGTTGCCCTTCACGCACTTGCAATTCTGCTCGTACTGCTGCGCCTGGCTCCGCATGGAGGGGAAGTCGAGTGACACCATTGCGAACTCCATCTCGTATTCCCCAGTGAGCTCGGCGATCGAAGGGGGAAGGTAGCTCGGCGGTTCCTCGATGATGATCATGCCCGCCGCGCCGCCCCCCGCGTGGATGGATGTCGAGCCGTGGTGATGGGCGTGATACCAAAAGGTGCCACCCATGTGGTTTGCAGGGATGTCGTACACGAACGTGTTGTTTGCTTGAGGCTTCACCGCGGTGAAGATGCTGTCGCCAGGAGGTGCTGAGGAGACGTGCAGGCCGTGCGTGTGCATAGCAGTGACACTGATGTCGTGCATCGAGTTCTCCACCTTCGACGTGTCGGCGACTCCGGTCTGCTTGCCGTCGAGGCCATCCAGGAAAATCCGACTCGGGAGCTCGTTGTAAAGCGTAAGCACGATTTTCTGCCCAGGCTTCACGACGAGGGTGGGGCCGACCAGCGTACATTCATCCTCCGCTGAGCAGTCGTCCGGCACCTGGTCGGGCGTGCCGTTGAAGTATTTGCGGGTGTACTGCTCCACGAGCATCCCTCCCGAGGGAGCCGCGATGGAGAGCAGCACCTCCTTCAGCGTGAGGTCAACGGTGACCTACACAGAGACGGGGCAGGTGAGTTTCGACCCTCGTCTGTATCTCACAATCACTGCGCTGGTCATGGGCACTTCGTTGTCGCTGGGCGTGCGGTCATTGGCGTCAGAGATCCGGACCGGTCGTCGGTAGGATCCGTGAGCGGTGGCGCCGACCTTTGTGGCGCTGGCCGGGACCGCGGTCGCGTCGGGCACGACCACGCAGTGGAGGAGCTCGGAGACGCCGCCAGATTTCGAAGCAAAGGCCGAGCAGCTCAGGCCGAGCACCACGATCGAGGTAGAGACGATGCACAGCAGCTTTGACGAGCGGAAGTTGCCAAAGCCGAAGCCGGAGCGAAGAAAGCCGGAGCCGGAGCGGAAGCCGAAGCCGAATGGCGTCGATGACGGCTCGGGCGAGACAGACTCGGGCGAGGCAGACTCGCACTGCGACGCGCGCGACGTGTGGTCAAGCAAAGGTGGGTCTACACGGTCGGCGCCCTTCTCTTGCTCGTCCTCGTCCTCGTCGAGCTCCGCCTTGACGTTCGTCTCGACGTCGTCGAGCAGATCGTACTTGTTGGAGACCTTCGTGGACTTGACCTCGCCCTTGCGCTCCGTCTTGTTGCGCGAGTTCGAGGCGATCCAGTCGGGCTCGCCCTACGCATCGAACGCGCGATGGGGTCAGTCAGTGGGTCCGCAGACGCACGGCACAGAATGCGGCGCTCGCCGCCGGGGCGGGCTTCTCCTTTGGAAACTCCTTGGCCGAGACGGTCCAGCCGTCGTCGCCCTACGCAATGAAAGCGGGGTGGGGTAAAGGAGTGAGTGGGCAGGCGCACGGCGCAGAAGCAAGGCGCTCGCCGCCGGGGCGGGCTTCTCCGGCAACTCCTTGATCGACGGCAGCGTCTCGCCGCCGGCCGCCACCGGCTTGAGAGCCCACTCGTCGATGCCCTGCGCGCGACGTACGACAGAGTCACGGGGTTTACCACAGTGTGTGCACGAAATGGTGCTGGCTGGGAGGCGCTCGCCGCCGGGGCGGGCTCCCCCTCCGGAGACTCCTTGACCGACGGCAGCGTCTCGCCGCAAACCGCCGCCTGCTTGAGAGCCGTGTCGATCTTGATGAACGGCTTGAGCGCCGGGTCGTTCTTGATGACGCCGGTGACCTCCTCGGCGACGGGCGCCTCCTCGGCGACTGCCTCCGCGGTGGCGGACACCTGGGCGGCGGCGGACTTGGCGGCGGCCTCCTCGGTGGTCGCCTTCTTGGTGGCGGCCTCATCGGCGGTCGCCTCCTCGGTGGCCGACTCGGCGTCCTCCTCGGCGGCGGCGGACTTGGCGGCGGACTCCTCGGCGGCGGCGGACTTGATGCCGCACGCCTGGGTGAGGGGAGAACACGCAAGTGTGCGGAGACAGGGAGACCGTAGAGGGATGATGACAATCCTGGCGTGTGCACACTCACCTCGGCTCCGAGGAGCGAAGGCAACAGCGACGTGATGCCGACAGGAGCCGTCGGCGCCGACTCGGACGGGACGTCATTGCCGTTGCCGATGACGTCATTGATCGACGCGGGCTCGCTCTCGGACGAGATGCCGTCGTGCTTGCCTCCGGCAGAGTCGACGACGGGCGAGGGCGGCGACGGAAGTGGCAGGCACGAGGTTTTGTCGACGGTGAACGTGAGGCGCCGCGAGGTCTCGGCGCCGGCGAACGATGCGCCTACCGACGCCGCAAACACGACGCCGACGTCCTCGAGCGAAGCGGGCTTGCCCTCGGACGGGATGACGTCCTCGAGCGAAGCGGGCTTGCCCTCGGACGGGATGCCGGCGGCCTCGCCTCCGGCAGCGTTGACGGTCGTGTTGCCCGCCAGCGACGCCTATGTCAGCCAGAAGACCAGAGAGGATACGTCTTGCAGGTGGGAGCGCATTGTCACGTGCGCGCAAGCACACGCCTTCTTGTCAGCAAGCGGCGGCGGCGGAGGAGAGAGCTTGAGCACGAGCTTGTCACCGGCGGCCGGCACGAGCTCGAGTTTGAGCTTGTCGAGCATGTTGATCGAGTTCCTGACTTTCACATGGGGTTCAAATAGTCTTGAGTGCTCTCAAGTGAAGAGGGCCAGGCACCATCCAGAAAGAGGCAAGCCGAGACTCGGCGATCATGTGTCAATCTCGGCTTGATCTGACTCGGGGTCGATCTCGGCGAACGGAGAGGTCAGCACCTACGGGATCATGACCATGTGAAAGAGGGTCAAAAACTGCTGTCCAGGGGTGGTGTCTCCGATGGAGGGTGCAGGCCAGCGCTCGAGTGGCCCTAGCGGCTGCGGGCACAGAGTGGCACTCTCTAGACGCATCAGAGGTGCGAGAGCAGCCAGGGCGGGAACTCCTTCTCAGCGGGGTCAATCACAGGTCAATCTCGGCTCGTAGTCAGGAGAACGCCGACGCGCCTACGGGCAGCACGTCGCGGCGTGAGCGTCGAGACGAGGCCGCCGGCACGCTCTCTCGCGTCCTCGGCGCTCGGACTGGAGCCGGGCAGCGATTTGCAAGCGAGCGGGCTGCTTGCTCTCTCGCCGGAAAAGAGTGGGGGTAACGAGCGGCAGCGGCCGCGTCTCGCGGCTCCTCGATGGCAGCATACTCACCTGCGAACGGGAGGTGGCAGGCATTGTGAGGCCGAGAGGGGGCGTAGCGCTCGGGCGCCAAAACGAAGCGCATCGCATGGTGGGAGCGGAGAGGGAGCGGCGGGTTGCGTGAGCAAGAGGCGTCGCGCCGCTCGGGCGTGCAGCTCCCCGCGTCCGTATGTGCGTCGATGCGGCGGGGCCAGCGCGAGCGGAACGGGAAAGGCGAGGGTTGGACCTTCGGAGATATGAGTCACGAAGAGGGCCGCCGTTCACTTTTGTGGCTGTGAATGTACTTTTTCTCCCTGGGCCTGGTGTGAAGAGAGCTGTATTCTGGGGGGTGGCTCGAGGTGTGCTGTGAAGCCGCCTCGGATCACCAGAACACAGATCGCGAATCGGCGCGCAAAGAAAATGAAGGCGCTCATGCGTCATGGGCTCGTCGAGGTCGGAGAAGGGGAAGGGGGATTAGCAGTCGGCGAGGGGGTCATAGACAACACGGGGAATGGGGTCAGTCGTTCACTTTCCTGCCTCGCAAGGGCGGGGCTGGCCCGCAGTCCCGGGAAGCCGCAGGGCGCTTTCGGGCGGCAGGCATATTTTGATTAGTAGCTACCAGCGAGCCGGTTCTTTACCAGGTTGCAACCCCTGTTCCGCACTGTGCTGTGAATCGAGCGGCAACCAACAGCTCTCAGGACCCCCCGGTGCTGGGGTGCTGCCAGCAACCAACCAACTCACCGGCGACACGTCGCACCTACGTGGCGGGCCGCCAGGGGCCAGCAGAAGGGCGCCCCCGCGCGGATGCCGACGAGGATCACGGTGCGCTCGCCCTCCCTCCCTCACTGGTGTGTTCATTGGGGGGGGTTACATAACAAACACGGTACAGGATCGAGGTGTACGCTGCTGAAGCAGTGCACCTACATAGTGCAGGACCTGGCTGGGGCAGCAACCAACAACCTGGATGGGGACGGGGTCTGGAAGTAACAATCAACAAGAAAAAAACTCGTGCTCCCGATCGGCTAGGGAGCCTGAACCCTCTCCTCGCTTGTTAGTGTTGGCCGCTTTGTGTATCTCGAGACCTCGAGAGAAGGCCGCCGCCGCCCGCAGGCGCAATTGGCTTTCTTTTGGCGACCCTCGCAGGAGTCGCTTAGGCGGCTCCCGTGGTGTACCTGTGTTAGTGCCAGTGCGAGCCAGTCCCGTGCCCAGTCCTGTGCCCAGTGTCGTGCGAGGGAGTTGTTGTAAAATTCTTTTGGCGGCAAGTTGTTCGTGCGCGTTGCGTCGCCGCTCACAACCACGCTCACGACCACCGCATGTGTCGGTTTGTCGTCCTATTGTCGCTGGCCTCGCTCGCGGCCGTGTCGGCGCTCTCGCCCGGCAGCCTGCGCGTGACGGCGGTTGCCGGGCACCAGCGGCATGGCGCTGTGATCATGAAGGGGCGCGCGCAGGGCGGAGGGCCGGCAAAGAGCAAGTTTGGACACAAGCGGAAAAAGCTGAGCGTGCGGCTCGACCACATCCGCGTCGAGAAGGAGGCCGCCAAGAAGAAGCGCAGACCGCGGCCGCAGCGCGTCGTGTCCGCCAAGCGCCAGTGGGACCGCCACAAGGCGCTCGTCGGCGGAGGGCAGAGCCCGTGGGCCGTCTTTGCGCGGGCCGAGGGCGGCGGCGAGTGGCTGCCGGTTGGCAACGTCAGCTTCGCCGAGGGAGACGCCGCGCAGGCGGCGGCGACACACAAGCGGCTCATCCTCGAGCACGCCGTCCGCCTCTACCCTCAATTGTACCCGCAGAGGCACTCGTTGCAGGCTGCGGTTGAGGCCTCTCAGGGCTCCGGGGGCGCGACCGCTGCCGCACTCGAGCCGCAGCCGCAGCCACAGCAGCCAACGTTGTGCGGCTTCGTCGGCCGCGAGGACGTCGCCAGTGGATATTATTGCACGCGGCCGTCGGGGGTGGCGGCGCACGTCGGCGACCGCGATCTGAAGAGCAAGGTCAAGCTGAGTGGCATCGGTCTCGACTCCAAGTCGGCGGTGGCGATCCAATTTTCAGAGTCGCTGGACTTGCGTGGACACTGAGCACCGACGGCGAGACCAGAGTATCCTGGCTTGGTCGTGTGCAGCTCACAGTATTTGCGCGTACGCGGAAAGGAGGAGTAGGTCATGCAAAATAAATCCGAGAAATATTCGGCGGTGTACAGCCGTTTTTGCTTTTTTGGGCCTTCTTCAGGCACCTTGCCTTCGCTTCCCATCGATGTGCACCATTTCGGGCGGATGTCCGGACCCGGAGAGCGCGACAAGCGGGAGCGGAATGGCAAATCCGGCCTCACGCCCGACAAGACCAAGCGTCCCTCCGTCGGGGGAGCCCGGACCGGACCAGCCCCGCCGCTCGGGCCGGCTGGCGGCGGCCACGACGACGCCGAATCCGCCGCCGACAGGTTTGGCTAGCTGCCACACAGTAGCGCGGCGCGGCACACCCTGCCGATGGCGCGGGCCCGATGGGGAAGTGGGTGGAGATTGCGAAACGCTCAAAATGCATACGCGACTCCTAGATCCTGGGCCGAGGTTCGATAAAGTGATGCGGAATCAAAGCCAGCCGCCGCTCCGACCCTCCCCCCCCCTGCCACAGGGGAGCAGACCTCGCGGCCGCCGGAGGGCGCGCACGCGCAAGCATCGAGCAGGGCCCCCCGGAGCCGGGGACCGAGGTCCTGGGCGCAGGGATTCGTAGCCCCAGACGCCTTCACTTCGGCACCAGCCCACCAGTCGGATGCCGACGTGGCGCGCCTTTTGGCCGAGGCGAGCCGGCTGGGCTTCTTCCTCAAGCACCAGGACTCGTTCCGGCAGGAGATCGGGCTGCGGATGGCGACGAGCCTGCGGACCCTGGGCGGCCAGTTCCTGTGGCAGACGGCGAGCTTCACTTTCCGCGACTGCCCGCGGGAGGTGCTGAAGGACTTGCCGCCTCCTCTCAAGGCGATCGACCAGCCGCTCTCGCTCCAGTTCAATGCAGACACAATGACGGACGCGGCGGAGCTCGCGCGCCCCTTCTTCACGCTGGTGCCTTAGGCTTCATCTCAAAATTATTGTGCCAGACAACCACGATGGCCGTGAACCACGTCATGACGAGTGTGTAGTCGATGAAGATCACGAGAGCGGTGAAGATGCCGAAGTTCTGTAGGTCCGGTATTTGGCCGGAGGCGATGGCGGTAGCGATGAAACTCGCACACGTGGTGAGCGAGGTTATGAGCATGGCGAGCCCTGCGCGGCGGTAGACCCACGACATGCGTGTCGCCAGGTCGCGGTTCACGTCTGGGCCGGCATAGAAACTCTGCTTCCACGCGTCTACAAAGACAAAGACGTCGTCGGCCCCGATGGCGAGCACGATGTAGAGCGAGAGGATGTGCTGAAACGGGATCCACTTGATCTGGAGGACCGCCGCATCGACAGCCAGCGCCACGAGTAGCGAGAGGAACTGCTCGCCCAGGGTGGCAGAGGCGAGCAGCAGCGAGCCAGTATGTAGCCACACGATGAAGAAGACTATGATGACTGGGACCACCGCGAGGATGCCGTCGTTGATGGCGACGGCGAGTAGCTCCTGCGTGGGGAGAGGACCGGAACGGAACAGTATGCATGAAACTGGGTCGCGAGCGCACAAGTCAGGCACGCCTGCAGCAGCATCGACGCTGTTGTAATGAAGGCGCTTGGCGTGGTTTCCGTCCAGACGCTCTTCTTCGGGTCGTAAGCATCTCGCATCTTCTCCTGGTCCCACCAGTCGGCAAAGAGGCGCTGCTGCGCCGCAGTCTCGGTCTCTCCGACGTAGGCGTCGTAGCAATTGCCCGGTGGGAGGTCGGGCGGGCAGAGCGGCGCGCCATAGTGATAGTAGGCGCGGGTGTACCGCGAGCGGAGCGTCGAGAAGGTGAAGTCCTGAAGTGGATATCCTAGGGTTGCTTCGCTCGCTCTGCGTGCGCAAGTGAGGGTAAGCTGGCGGGAGGGACACCTTGTCGAAAAAGGCGTTCGTGTACGAGGCAAGGAAATCAAGCGACGGCCTTTCGCGGATTTTGGCGACCAACTGCTTGACCTGCAGCGGATCCTTCCGCCTGCTGGCACTGCAGTTGGTGCGACCAGCGATCCACTGTGGGAACATCTTGCCAAACAGCTGATCACGGGTGGCGAGAACAAGCTGGCATTCCTCGACCGTGCACCCAAACTGGGATGGGGTCTCGGCGCAGTCTGGTTGGATTGGGTCCTCCCGGTCGCCGAGGTTCTCTGGCAACAGCATCCAGACCATGAGGAGGTCGAAGGTCGGGACGTCAAAGGCGGCGAGGTCAACTATTGATGGGTCGTAGGACAAGGGGCCGAAGAAGAAGGGCAGTGGCGTCATCGGGCGCTGGCACTCGCCCGGGATATCGTCGCCGGACTGGTCTTGCACAAGCTCGCGCTTGCAGTAGCTGTCATAGTCCGTCGCACCGAGGAGCGCCTGGTGCAGGCCGCAGAGCTCGGCAAGCCCATCTCGCGAGAACGCGTCACCAGCATCGTCCTCCGCACGAATTGAAAAGAGGGCAGATGCCATGTCCTCCGATTGTCGCACCTGCCTCTGCGTCCGCGCTGAGCCCGCCATCCAGCCTGGCGGTAGGGCAGAGTCCTTGGCCAACGACACCATCACGCGCTCCAGCGCGCGGCCACCGCGATACGCAAAACGCCCGCCCGCGACGCGGTTGGAAGGGACTGAATCGACGGCATCGTTGAGCGAGCGTCGTTGTCGGACCGGTCCGTAAGCGGCGTCCTCACAAGAGGATGGCAGGTTGCAGAGGTACTCGAGCTCAACCTTTGCGGGGCGGCGGGCACGGCTCAAAAAGCGAAACACCGAGCAGCGGAGTGGACGGATTGCGCCTCTGCAGATGCCATGTGGGCCATGGCAACCGCCTCGGTCTTCTGGGTGGTGATGGAGCCCACAGGATAGGATTCTTGCCGGAATGGGCCTGCGCAACGCTCGCAGGTCCCCTCCGATTCCTTGACAATAAATATTCCAAGCACCGAGACCGCGAGCGCCGTGGCAAAGACGACAAACGCGATTAGACACGGACATGCGACGATGCACCTGGGGCGATCAGCTGGGCTTGTAGCAAGGGGAGTGAACGAGCATACGCCAGCAGCCAGCAGAGGTGGACGTGGACGTGGAGAGGTGTGTGAATTGCGACTGCGTGGCATCTCAATGCGCACTTGACGATGCGTAGCGGGGGCTTGACTTCGTGTGACAGTGGCTCCAGCTCTCTCAAACAGCCACCAAAGAGGCCGCAGCGTCTGCGCGTCTGGTCCGTCTTCATCGCGATTCAGCTTCTACAGAGTAGTCTACCCGCAAGAATAAGATCGCGGCGCGCATCCTCCGCCCTTGGTGGCCTCTTTTTTCTTTCTTTTTATTGTTAGTGCAGTGCTCGCCTGTCCCGTGCCTAGTGTCTCGAGTGAGAGTTTTGTGGTAGAGTTCTTTTTATTCTCAACTGTAGAGTGCCGCTCGTCGTCGTGCGTGTCTCGTGTCTGTCGGTGGTCGACAATGATAATGTTTTCTCATTTCTGTCGTTTTGCCGTTTATCGGGCAGCATGCGCGCGAGAGGGAGGCTTCGATGTTCGAAGTTTCATATCTTCAATTTCATCAATCTGTTGTGAAGCTGAAGGCCCCGAGCCCGACGACGGTCACGCGACATAAACGCGCGCGCGCGCGTCGAGAGAGAGTGACGCTCCCCTCCCCCCTCCGTCCGCGCGCGTCCCCGCGTGCTCTTGTTGGTTGTATCTCTTACATACCTAACACTTCTCGTAACCCCCCGTGCAGTACGAGGCGTGGTCACAGTAGACATTCGCAACCCCACGTTCGTCCGTGACGTTTAGTACCTCAGCATGCGCGGCTTCCGAGTTCCGTGTGTCAAACCACGCTTGTCAGGGATGACACTGGAATGTGGTGTGCAGGGCTGGTGCACTCTCTTCTATTTAGGCGCTGACTGTGAGATCACGGCGGGGGAGGGGGGGGGGGGTTCAAGCGATGCCCATGCGCATGAGGTGCAGCTTCGCACGCAACTCGGCGGGTGGCTGAAGGTCTCCGAGCCGTTCGCCAAATGTGCAGAGGAGGAGGGCGATCGCACGGTGGAGCGCCGCGTCGAGCCGCGAGGCGTGGGCCGACGTGCGCGCTGTCACCGCCGCCGAGGCCAGCGGGGCGACGGCGAGGGCGGTGGCGGCAGTGCCACGCTGCACGGCGGGGCGCAGGCTTGCGAAGGCGGGCTTGGAGGAGGGGTCGGCGGCCGAAACGGCGGCGAGGTGCGGGTGGCCGTGGCCGAGGAGGGTGTCGAGAGCGTGCGAGCAGCGCAGCAGCAGCAGGAGCAGCTCCTGAACGCCGCTCGAGAGCTGCACCAGGCCGCGCGCGTCCTAAGGATGCCGTTTGGGGAATTGCGTGTGTGCGGGTGCGGGTGGGGGTGGGGGGGTGGGGGTGGGGGTGGGGGGGGGGGGGGGACTGCGGCATGGGGACGGCGCGAGGGCAATGGCGGTGGCGGGAGAGGGCGGCGCCTCTGTGCGAGACGCCGCTGCGATGCGGGAGAGGGCAGTAGCCGCCCATGCGACGGCCTCGGCGGAGCCAAAGAGTGCCTCACCAAGGGCGTGCCGCTCAAGCGAGCCGCGGACGGCGCGCGCGCGCCGCACCAAACCGCCTGTAGCGGCCGAAGGCGGCGGCTTGAGCTTGCTCGCCGCGCCGATCGCCTCCGAGAGCGAGTCGATCGGGCGGCGGGCGGCAGCCAGGATCTCCTTCCAGCCTGGGGTGGCACCGCCGCCGCCGAGGAGGGCGGCGCGTCGCGCAGGCTGCGACTCGGCGATGTGGGCGAGCTCGAGGAATGCGAGGTGCTGGGTGAGCGGGGCCTGCGCGAACGCCAAGGGGGGGAGAGTGGAGGTGCCGCGGGGGAGCCGTGCGATGGTGGTGGGACCGCGGGGAGGCGGGCTGGTGAGAGGCGGGCTGGTTAGAGGCGGGCGTGGGCGCGTGGGCGCGTGGCCGAGAGGACAGCGCGCTCTGCCGCGGAAGCGCGACGGGGTGCAAAGCGTGCGGCAGCGCGCTCTGCGGCTGGCGAGGCGGGTGCACGCCTCGTCCGTGAGCAGCGCCCGAAGGAGCAGCCCCTCGCCCTCGCCGCCGAGAGCCGCTGCGGAGCGTGGCGCCGCCACGGGAGGACCGAAGCTTCCCACGATGGTGCCGACAGCGGTTGCGGCGCCGGATGCGGCGGAGCGCGGCAGCGGCGCGGAGCTGCTGCTCTGGCGCGAGACGCTCGGTGGGCACGCGAGACTGATGCGGCGGCCGTAGGCGAGGCGGACGAGGGCGAGGGCAGCGTGGAGGAGGAAATGAAACCACGCGGCGCTCAGCAGCATCCGCAGGTACGAGCGTAGAGAGAGCTGCCGCAGCAGCGCGAAGGTCGCAAGCTCGGCAGGCGTGGCGCCGCTCGGACTCGGCGTCGGGTCGTCCTCCTCCCCCACGGTGGACGGAGGCGGGCCAACAGCGCCCCGCGTGAGTGGGAACGCACGGCAGCCATCAACCAACAACAGCGCAGTGCCGTCGAAGCGTGGCCGCGCGAGCGCGAGGACCGCGGGGCTAAGGGCGAGGCCCACCGCGAAGAGGACGGTCGAGGCGCGCAGTGCCTCGGGCGCCAGCCGCACCAGCCGAGCGCGGAGCCGCAGCGCCGCCGGCGAGGCCGCATCGTGCCAGGGCAGCCGTGCAAACGTCGGAGAGGCGCAGGCGCGCATGGCAGGGACGGCGCCGGCCGCAAGTGCCCAGCAGCATGCCAGCACGGCGCGGGCAGTGAGGCCGTCCGGCTCGACCGCCTCCGCGCACGGGGAGAGGAGCGGCAGCACGATGGCAATCGCAGCACCGACCGAGGCGAGCACAAACAGCAAGCAGCCGACGGCGTGCAGGGCAGTGACGCTGCAGAGGTGGGTGCGGAGTAGGGCGAGGCGCGAGGAAGCGGAGACCTTGGGCAGGGGCGCGACGCTCCGAATCGTCAGGCCGCGGTATGCATAGAGCACCGGCAGCAGCGCGAGAAAGGACACGGGCATCAGCAGCAGCGTTCGGACGCCGAGCAGCGGCAGCGGCAGAATCAACAGGCAGAGAAGGAGCGTCAGAAGGGCGAGTGTCCAGCCGTAGACATCAGAGAGGAGAAGCAGGCGGCGGAGGCGTTGAGGCGGCGCGGCGCAAGCGGTTTGAGACATGGCACGACGCAGGGCGCGAGCACGCAAAGAGAATTCGCCAAGCAAGTGCCACGCGGAGGGCTCGGGCGTTGACCGCACCGCCTACCCTCCCCGCTCCCGCCTCTCGTTTGTGTCACACCACGCGGAACGCATCTCCATCGCTTCGGTGAAGGGGGTGAACCGCGCCATCCTCGATCGCCGTGCATACTCGAGTAGCTCGCTTCCGAGCGAGCTCTCACGCCGCGCGCAGGATAGCCCGCGTCGGATAGGGCCTTTAGGGGCCTAGAGAACACACACCCCTCTCCCTTTTCTCCCAGTAAGCTAAAGGTACGTACGAGCACTCTCCAACATGCGCATGGACTGGCAGTCTGGCACCGCAAATGGCACAGAAAAAAAAGTAAAAGGAAGTGCGCAATCCCTCTCGCAACACTTGCCCTTTTGCACTAACTTGGAGCACTTGGAGCTAACGGTGAATCTTCTTTTTGTATAGACGGCTGCCTAGGATTGAGAGCAGCCTCGCTCTCAATCCTAGAAGTCGAAGGATTGTGTGTGAGCAGCACTCCTCGCAATCGTAGCATCTCTGTGCGATTGTGAGCACCTACGCTCGCAATCCTACATCTTCCTAGGACTAAGAGCAGCTCCGCTCACAATGTTCCTGGTGACGCCTACGACTACCACCAGCGCGCGCGCTGCTCACGCGCTCATAAAAATCGTACCAGGCAAGGATTGCTAGCAGGCGCACAGAGGGCGCTCACAGTCGCTCTCAATCCTAGCCGCTACAAAAAAAGGTTCACCGGCACTAACACAGGTACACCAAAAGAGACATTTCGAGACCTGTTCGAGACGAAGCTCGAAGGAGCTCGCTCTGGAAGAGAGGGGCTGGCTCGAGGGCGGTTGTTCCCAATCGGGCCGGTAAGCGGCCACGCCTCCGCAGGTTCGTGTTTCGCGCCTGACCGAGTCCCCCTTGCGTTGTCGAGAGGCGCCTTAGGTGTTGGGCTTTTTTTTCGTCGCCAGGACGCGGTCGCAGCGTCGCAAAATCTTACACTTTTTCGGACATTTATTCATGCGGTTTGGTGGGGCGGCGACACACATGCATACGACCGGATTATGTCTGGCCTTTTTTCGAAATGGGGCACTATACAGCTGACCCCCCTGTCGCCCCTTACAGCCCTGCACATCCACCCAGCCCCTGCACAACCAGGCGCTGACCGGACGGCTCGAGCGCTATGCGCATGAGCCATGGCGCCGGGCTACACGATGCTGTGCGAGCGTTGCGATGGCTGCTGTCCCGAGAGTGTTGAACAATGCGCAAAGGTGATGGCGGCACGGTCCGAGTTGTGTAGTGCGGGTACCCGACTCGCGAGGTGCAGCGCTCACTGATTGCGAGGCACTGTCGGCCTCCGGAAGGATGGCCGCCGCTGAAGCTGGTACCGCTCGTTGAGCGCCTGCGCTTGCGCCTCAATCATGTGCTTCCGCATCTGCTCCGCCTGGCCAGCGCGGATTGCCAACAGTGGCGCCGATAGAGCAGGGCTTCCGGCGTCGGTCAGAGCTCCGTGCTCTCTCATGGCCTGTACCCTGGCGGCAAGCCTCTCGCGCACAGCTTCCTCTGTGGATCGGGTCCGCTGCAGGTTTGCTTCCTTTGCAGTCTCGCAGCGCTGGAGCACATTCTTTAGGGTCTCGTCCACCTCCGGCCCCTTGTAGCCCGTCGGGCGTTCGACCTTGTCGGGGCGGACCAGAGGCGTGGGCTTTGGGAAGCACGGCAGGTTCGGCAACTTTGACAGACACTTGGGCTGCTCGCATTCAATCTCGAGCTGCGGCAAGCCCGGAATCGGGTGGCACTTCATGCACGCTCCAGTGGGGGGGCAAGTAAGCGTGCGCGGGCAAAATTTAAGAGTGACCGATACGACGCCAAACTTCAGTGCGCAACAAGAAGAGAATTTTAACAGGTCCCTCGCACGACACTGGGCACGGGACTGGCGCGCACTGGCACTAACATTAGCGGACACTGCGAGGAGAGATAGGAAGAGGCACAGACGCCCAAGGATGGGCGACAGCTAGCACCACTGCCCACCCCAAATGAGCACAGTTCCTCAGTTCTTACTGTCTCGCGTCCACCCACATACACGCGCGTTGGTGTCCAGTCCGAGCCAAACTCTGTTCTTCACCTTTCTACCTAAACCTAACCTAAGGCGGTGTGTGCGTGAGAGTGATCCCCGAGCCTTGCGCTGGCTGTTCTTTTCACCTCAGATACATCCAGTACATACACTTTAGGTGTCCCCCCCCGGCCCCCGCCGCCAGCGCCACGGCACGCGCCAGCCGAGGCGCGAGGGGGGAAAGTTGCTGGACTCGCCAATTTGCTCTATCAGCTATCACGCGGCACCTCTTGGCGGCTAGAGGTGGGCCCAAGCCTTGGGGTTGAATCAAGATGATTTTTTCCCGGTGTCTGTGGATGAAATATGAATTCGAACGAGAGGAGAGACGATCGCGGACCGCGACCGGCCTCATCGCAGCGCTGGACTGGCACACGCGCGCACCGACGGCGGCTCTATCTCTTCTTCCGCCCCGGTTTTTTCCGAAAGTCGTCGACGATCTTGTGGAACTGCCGCGAGCGCGGGTTGGGCGACAGATCGGGGTAGTCGACGACGCGCTCCTCGTGCACCGCCGGCGTCGAGCCGTGCGGGTCGGGTGCTGGGCAAAAGGCTGGCCGGTCGCTGATGGCGTGGCCCTTGAAATCGGGTGGCTTGTTCAGGTAGACGCACGGGAAGTGCCTTCCGGGAGAGCCGTGGCAGCACGGCGCATAAAAGGGCACACAACCCTTGCGGGGGCCGACGCAGCTCTCGGGCGTCCAATCCTCGGCGCAAAAGGTGCGGTGGTACGGCACGACCGCCTTTGCGACCCGCTCAAAAGAGGCACCCGCAGTCGCGTCCTCAAAGCCGCAAAACTTTCGGAAGGTGGACTTGAACTCGAGCACGCGCACATGCTCGTACGGGCGCAGCGCGTCGCGCGCCTGGCTGGCTGACATCGGCGGCGCGTCCACGCGCACCCAGCTCGACTTGATGTCGGGCGAGAGCCGCGGATCGGTCAAGAAGCCAGGCTCGCGAAAGGCGACGCCCTGTTCGAACCAGCCGACGAGCGGCAGTATGTGGTCGGCGGGGCAGTCGAAGGGGAGAGTCATTCCAAAGGCACCGCCCACCTGGAGGGGCGGGGCCGCGTCGGAGTGGCGGGACGGGGCCTGGCTAGAGCGAGCGGAGGAGGCGAAGCCTTGCAGTGCTTCATCTCCTTCCAGATATTGTCGCAGTAGCAGAGCATCCGTGGCAAGACGAGCGTGCGGTTCAGGGCGGTGGCAAGCCCCAGCGCATCGCGCAACGTCTCGCGCAAGTGCGAATCCTCCTTGTTGAAGCGGCCGGCGGCCTCGGCGGTAGTGACGCTGTTTGGAAGAGTGTCGATCGGCAGCGCGGCGCCCTCGGGCGCGACGGCGAGGTACCGCCCCTCGCTAAAGTACGAGGGCGGGTCCACCCACCAGACGCGAGCCTCGCGCATCCGCTGCCGCTTGCCGTACGCAAACTTGGACGAATCCCCGTACCTGCCGGAGCGGGGGTGCTCGTGGCCGACGCGATTCGAGGGCGGCGGCGGCGGCGGCGGCGGCGGCGGCGGCGGCGGCGCCGGGCGGGTCCGGCGGCGCGGGCGGCGGCGGTGGCGCTGTCTCGGGGGAGGGGAGGCGCACTGGTAGGTCATGTGGAGCGCAAAGGGCGGCGGGTGGTCCGAGCCGTCAGCCTCCTTGCGCGCGTACATGCGCTGCACGAAGAAGGTGTGCCCGTTTGCAAAATAGCGCAGCGGCAGCCGCGCGATCTTGAGCCTGTCGTTCCACGCCTTGTAGATAGGGCGCGCCTTTGTCCTGCCCTGCGGGTCGGGCGGAGGCTCCCACTCCTTGGAGCGGAACCCCTCGCGCATCAGCAGGTTGAGCGCCGCCTGGTCGCGGATCATGACGTCTCGCGTCGTCTCGATCTTCTGCTTCCACGCCGCAGTGAAGTCGAGCACTCCCTGCCGCGCGCGCATGTACACAAGGCCCGTGTTGTGGTCGACGTGCCAGCAGCCGCCCTTCGTGTCGCCCTCGACGTCTATGCAGTCGGTGGTGGTGAGGATGTCAACGTACTGCATGGGGTACTCGTTGACGAAGGGTGCCTGCTCACGCCGACAGCTGTGACGTTGCGCCCCTCCCCCGCACGGGGCCTCTCTTGCCGAGGGTGCCGGGTGGGCCATCCAAGCCGTGTCGGCGTCGCACGCCCACACGTTGAAGCCGAGGCGGAGGATGTTGGAGTAGAACTGGACCTTCATCGCGGCCATCCGCTTGTACGCCGAGTAGTCGAAGCGCAGGTTGGCGGCGCCGCGGTTCTTGATGGAGTTTGCCTCGATTGAGAGGGTGGGGATGCCGTGCTCCTCGCAGATCTTGGTCATGCCCTCGTCGAGCGCGCCAACCATCAGCTCGTGGATGCCGGCGCGCCTACGGAGAGGAGTGCGCCGCGTGGCGGGCCCGCCCGCTCAGCGCAGCGACTCGCCTCGCGCGTGCCTCAGGTTTGCGACCCAGTTGAGCGCAAACGGCGACATCGAGGCGGACGAAAACGAGACAAAGATGTCGGTGCCCGGCTCGAGCTTGTCGAGCGGCGGCGGGAGCTTGGACGCGCCGCCATTGGCGGCGGCCAGCGCCTTGGCCTCGTCCGACGCTGGCCCTGGCACCGGCTTGACTGGCTGCGGCTGCGCAACGATTCCCGCCTGCGGCCGCGGTGCCGCCGCCGGCGTGGCCGGATGCTGAACCGCCGTGACTGGCAGCTGTGCGGCCGCGCTCGACCGCTGCGCGGGCGGGTCGGACGCACCGGGAGCACCACCCAGTGCCCGCTGCATCGCCGACTGCTCGCGGCGGATGCGGGTGAGCGCCTCGGTGGGCCGCTCGGAGACCGCGACCTGGCGGTGGGTCTCACCCCGTGCGTCGAAGAGCACGTTCATGGCTACGAGGAAAAAGACGCCGGCTGCGAGCACCGTGGAGAGGCGGGCTGCTGACGGCATGCCAAAAGCGCTGGTGCCGGCCGGGGAAAAAGAAGATAGCCGCCAGAACTAGCGAGACCCGTTTTCGTTTATGGGAGGCGAGCTTGCGAGAGCCACACACGACAAGAAAGAGAACACACGACACACACACGACACAACAGGGACACAGACACAGACACAGACACAGACACTGCGCTCCCCTCAGCGGGCAGGGAGACGCGAGCCCGACGGAGTCCGGTGGCGGGGGCCCACGCAGCCAGCCCCTGCACTGACATGGTTGGTGCTAGCCGCCGCCGCCGCTCGCTCTCGAATTGCGTCGCGCAGCTGCCCGTTCCCGGAGCGACGAGCGCGATTTTGGTGGCCAGGGCCTTGCCTGAAGGGGGGCGGGGCAGGGGGGAGAAGATGAGGACGTCACCGAGCGGGTGGAGCTGCCGGGAAGGTGGTGGGCGGGCGTGGATGCACCTCAAGTACGAGCGAGTAGCGGGAAAGACTACTCCGGCGGGAGAGTGCTCCCCCGCCGCCCCCTGGGTATCCCGAGTGACCTCGCAGCCCACGCCGTGGGGCGCTGCTGTCAGGGGAATGTCAGGGGCGTGCAAAGCCGCGATGCCTTCTCCATGTCGTGCTCCGCTGGTAGCACGGCTCGTGCTTTGATTCTCGCCGGCCGATGAGGTGAAGCAATGGCAACCACCAGGAAAGAGTGCGCCAATGCCCGCTGCGGCGCCTTGCCGGCGAAGCCCCAAAAATCTTCCGCCGCAGGTGCAAATGACGGCTGGCCGGGTGTCAAGAAGCCAGTCGCTTAGTTGTTGAAGCCATGGCACACTTGGGGTAGTCTGGGGGGGAGGGGAGGGGGGGTCTTCCCCACTGGCGGCGCCTTGCCGGCGAAGCCCCCGACGTCGTCCCGGAGGCGCAAGCGGCTGGCCGGATCACCATCTCTCAAGGCCCGAGCTTTACGCCGGCGGAGAGAAGAGCCGCAGCCATGAAGGCAGCCGGGTCGGCCGATGGCCGCTGGCGGCGCCGTGGCGGCGAGAGCCCCTCGTCATCGCCCCGGAGGCGCGGCGGCGGTGTGGCCTCTGTGTTTCCGAGTCGCTTTTCTTGTGCAACATCCGAATGGATGTTGCAGTTTACCAGTCTGCAGTCAGCTCTTCGTCGTCAATCAGCTTGACGGGCTTACGGCGGCCCACTTGAAGTTCAGCATGACTCGGAACGCAAGAAGTGTAAGGATGCATTTCGACGTCGACGTCGGACTTGGACAGATCTTCCAGTGTCTCATCGTCTACAAACTTGGCCCAATCTTTGGGTAGTCGGAATTCTGCGCCGTGCTCGCCTGATGGCGACGAGGCATCATGTTCATGCTCGTCGACATTCACAAGTTGCCACGTCGAGCCCACACGACGAAAAGTGCGGACGTCGGGCTCAATGTACGCGCATGCGTTATATTTATTTGGCTTGCCGGTCGCAGCTTTGCGGGCGGCGAGAACTTGCTCCTCGGCTGAGAGCCGTCGTTCGTAGTCGGCGTCCACGCGTGCCTCTTGCGCTATCGTGGTGTAGAACACAGCGGGAACACTCGCAATCGTTTTCGAAAATGGCTTTAATCGAGCAGTTGTAGCCTTCTTTTGCTTTCGGATCTCCCGAACAAGTGCCTCTGGGTCCGTTGTGTCCACCTTCCGCTTGGACATGCTCTGAGTGTGAGAGCTCCGCGGCGGCGGCCGGGCGGGCGGTCGGGACGCCATCTGTCACGGGCAGTGCGTCGAAGGGACGGCAGAGTTTACGCGAGCATCAGAAGTCTGCACATCGCGCTCGCCGTGTCGCTGTGGGCGCGGTCGACCCAGCCACATGAGTTTGAAAAGCGACGTTAGTCCGATTGAGAGATCTCTGCGCAAAAGAAATTGTCGTGCGCTCCCCTCGGCTCTGCCTCGGCACCAGCACCAGGTCCAACGTGGTGGTTTGCAGGTGTGTGGGACACTGTCTCGATGCTCCCTGAGACGGGGGGCGCGGCTAACGGGCGCGCAGGGGCGAGCACCGATGACGCTCCCGCGTCACCGCGCTCGCTCGAAGAACTCTGGCGGTGGGACGCTCCTCCAGAATCGCCTGGCGACGGGGCGCCAGATCAGGCCGCCGCCGAAGGGGAGGCGTCCGGGGAGGGCGGCGCACTTCGAGTGGCGCTGGAGGGTGGCGTAGGGGCCGGCGCGGGGGGCGCGGCGGCGCCGGCAGAAGCGGAGGCGGAGGCGGCGGCCCAGGAGGCTGACGGGCTCTCCGACGGCCTCCGCGCCTCGGTCGAGCGCGGCGAGTGGGAGCCGGTCGCCAGGTGGCTCGCCGCGGGCGGCATGCCGGACGTGCGCGATCCAAAGGGCCGGACGCTCCTGATGCTCTCGTCCACGTTTGGCAACCTCGAGGTGTCGCGGCTGGCGCTGCGCGCGGGCGCGGACGTGGAGCTGCAGCAGTACCAGGGCGTGACCGCGCTGATGTTCGCCTCGATGGTGGGCACCGCCGACATGGTGCGCCTCCTCATCGGCGCCGGCGCCTCCACCGAGACGCGCGACGAGCGCGGCATGACGGCGCACGAGTACGCGTCGCTCAAGGGGCACATCTTCATCTCTTGCATGCTGCTGCAGCACTCGGTGCGGCAGCGCCACCCGTGCAAGCACATGAGCGCGCGCAGCAACGACTCGGCGCCCTCGTCCACCGACTCGTCCACTTGCGCCTCCCTCCCGCCCGAGCCCTCGACGGGCATTGCGCTTGCCGCCGCACCCGCCGCCGGGCCCGCCGCCGGGCCCGCCGCGCCCGTTCCTCCCGCCCAAGCGCCGTCCGCCGGGGGCGCGCTGCAGCCGGGCGGCGGCCCGCGCGAGGCTGGGCCGGAGCCTTCGGAGCGGCGCAGGCTGCCGCCGAAGCTGGTGCAGGCGGCCCAGGGGGGCGACGTCGAGGCGGTGGGCGTGTACTTGCGCGAGGGCGGCGACGTGGATGCTGCGGACCCCGACTTGAGCGGCTCGATGCTCATGTGCGCCTCCTCGGCCGGCCACGAGGAGCTCGTCACCGCGCTCCTCGCGGCGGGCGCATCGGTCAACGTGCGCGACGAGAACGGGTGCACCGCGCTCGCGATGGCCTGCTTCTCGCAGCAGCAGGTGACCGCGAAGATGCTGATCGACGCCAACGCGATGATTGACAGCCAGGACGTGCTCGGCCTCACCGCGCTCATGGTGTCTGCCCTCTCCGGCGCTACCTCGATGGTGCGCTTGCTGCTCATCGCCGGCGCGGACACGCAGCTGCGCGACGCCGCCAGCCGCACCGCCTACGACTACGCGCAGATCAACGGCCACCTGGCGGCGCGCAAGCTGCTGCGCGCGCAGCGCCTTGGCCGCGCGCTCCGTGTGCCGCGCGAGATGACGCCCGAGGAGGAGGCGGCCGCCGCGGCGTCGCACTCCGACTCGCACAAGAGCGCGGAGCCGACCACACGCGGAGCGAGGGGCGCGTCCGACGACGAGCCGAGGGCGGGGCGCAAGCCGGCGACGCGCACGCGGCGGCGGAACCGAAGGGGAGGGGTGGCGGACTCGGCGGCGGGCGACGGCCTGCCCGAGGGCTCGCTCGACGGGGTCGGCCCGCGGCTGGCCGACCTCTCGCTCTGCTCCGCCGGCACGGCCTCGCTCGGCGACTCGACGCTGGGCTCGGACTGGACCCTCGACGGGCCTCTCCCGCCTCGCTACGCGTCATGCGTGGGCGGGCTCCCTCCCTCCTGCACCACCCCGCCGCACCACCCCTCCGCACCCCGCCCCTCCTACCCGCCCGTCGAGTCCTTCTCCGCCGGCCTCGCCGCCGCCGCCTCCGCGGCAGGCCTCTCGCCAGGCCCCTCTGCGAACCTGTCGTCTCTCTCGCGCGGCAGCGCGGGGTGGGGCGACCACTCGAGCCACCTCTCCAACCACCTCTCCAACCACCTCTCCAGCCACCTCTCCAACCACCTCTCCAACCACCTCTCCAGCCACCTCTCCAACCACCTCTCCACGGGCTCGCTCGGCAGCCCGTCCTGCTCGCAGCTCTCGCACTGCTCCTCCGGCGGCCGGCCCGGCTACCCGCACCCCCAAAGCGGCAGCGCCGCCCTTCTGAGCAGCTATGGCGAGGCTCGCGGCGGGGCGCCGATGGGCGGCTACGGCGGCGCAGGTGGAGCTGTGAGGGGGCCGCCCCCCCCTGGCTACGGCGCTTGCGGCATTGGCGGTCCGGTTGCCGCGGGGTGGGTGCACGGCAGGCACGGCGGGGGCGGCGGCGGCAGCGACCTCTCCGCGGGCGCGCCGTACGGCTGCCACAACGGCGGCGGGGTCGGCCTTGCGGCTGGAGCTGGGCACGGCAGGTACAGCTGTGACGGCACCGGGGTCGCCGCGATCGGGGGCATCTACGGCGGCGGCGGCGGCGGCGGCGGGGGTGCGCTTAGCAAGGCTGGGCTGGTCGAGCCCGGCGGCGACGACGGCGACGACGGCGACTTGTCGATGGCTTCGCTCGCCTCGTCGGTGGCGACGTCGGCGCTCGAGGAGCCGCTCGTCGAGACGACGTCTCCGCTGCTGCTCTGCCCCATCACGTGACGAAACCTTGCACGCGCCGCGCGCGGGGGGTGCTCTGCCTCAGCCGCGCCCTTGCTCTGCTGTAGGGGCAAGCTCATGCGCGACCCCGTCTCGACGGTCGACGGCCAGGTCTACGAACGCGAGGCGATCGAGGCGTGGCTGGAGACGCACGACACGTCGCCCGTCACCGGCCAGCAGCTGCCCATGAAGCTGCTCGTCCCCTCCATCCCACTGCGGGGGATGATCGCGGCGCACCTCGAGAAGCAGAAGCTCCGCCAGAGGAATGCCACGGTTGCGGCAATGGCAAGCATGCGGCTGCAGCCCTTGCACAGAGAGCAGCCAGCCGCCTTGCAGCCGCAGCACCAAGAGGGGGACACGGGAAGCCCGGGGTCCGCAGGATCCTGGCGACAGCACCCTATGTCTCACTTGCCGCGAGTGGCGCATCAGAGTTGGGAGACGGTCTTGGGTAATAGGACCCCTTGAGTGTCGAGATGCGCCGCTTGACGCGTGCACACTGAGCATACACTGAGAGAGGGTGTACGTGTGCCGTGTGGCCCTGTGAGCTCTGTGTCTGCTGTCTGTGTCTCTTTTTTACTTTTGTCTCCGTCCGCGTCGCACCGACGTGCACCGGACACGCGGACCGAGCGAGTTCCAGGCGTCGCGGTGCCGGTGGCACATTATCGCGTATATGTGCATGCGCGACATCGCGGGCCCAGGCCCAAGTGTGGCATTTTGTATTTGACATTTCTCTTTTGAGACTCAGACTGGGTGTTATTCTAAAATTTTCAAGGTATTGAAGAATTTTTCATTCCCTTTTTTGTATTCAATGTGTGTGTGTGTGTGTGTGTGTGTGTGTGTGTGTGTGTGTGTGTGTGTGTGTGTGTGTGTGTGTGTGTGTGTGTGTGTGTGTGTGTGTGTGTGTGTGTGTGTGTGTGTGTGCTCAAATCTCTGATGGCCGATCATTTGATGCATGATGGGGGTTGCGTGCCTGTGCCTCAGCCTGTGGTCTGTCTGGGTCTGCGGCACGCGCCGCACGGGGGGATCTGTGTGCGAGCTCGATGTATGTGGCTTGTGCGTTGTGGGTGGGTCAAACGATGTGATGTTCAGGAGGCGTGAGGGGGGGGGGGGCGACGGGGGGCAAGCCCAAAATAAAAACCGCAAACCGCTGCCCCCCACACGACGCGGGAGAAGGGGACGCTGCGACAGGCAGAGTGCGCCCATCCGTATTCTAGTGATGATCAGGGGGTAATCGTTAGGTCGTCCCACAAGTCGTCCCACAAGGTCGTCCCAAGAGGACGCATCCAACCCGCCGCATTTCGCCCGCCGAAAAGTCTCCCACTCGCGCCCTCCCCAAACCTAAATCGTCTCACTAGTTACATACATACAATTGAGCATAATGGGGGTGCTTGTGAGCGTGGCGATCACGGGCAAGCCGCCGCACCCGCCAGCCCCACCACACGCCCGCTGCCGTCCCGAGCGAACCCAGGCACGCGCACGCGACCGTCCGCCCAGCCCGGCAGCCCCTCCAGGTCCCGCAGCACCGCTTCCGTTCCCCAGTACGAGTGCGCGACCGCCGGCTCGGCGAGCCCGTGGCCCAGCGTGACGCACTCGACGCCGTTGACGAGGAGCACGTGCTCACAGTCAAGCACAAAGTTGTAGACGGTGCCATCGTGCGGGACGCAGGTGCGCGACAGCGAGCCCGGCTTGCGCCAGGTACCGCCCACGCGCACCGGATGGCCCGACGACACGACCAGCCCCCCTTCCAGCTCCACAAGCGGCCGTGCGGTGCTCCGCGCCACCACGACCACGCAGAGCACGGTCGCCCGCGCCCCGCCCGCGGTAAGCACCACGTCGCCAGCGCGCACGTCTGCGACGCGGCGGGTTTCAACTGCGCCGGGCGCGGCGACCACGACCGTGCTGGACGAGCCGAAGCACCCGCAGCTGGCGGCACCGCAACTGGCCCCGCTAGAACTCGCGCCGCCGCATGCTGCTGCCCTCCTCTCCGCCTCCTCCTCCCTCCTCCTCTCCTCTTCCTCCTCCCGCCTCCTCCTCTCCTCTGCCTCCCGCCGCCTCTTTTCCGCCTCGGCGGCGGCGACCACGGTGCCGATCTTCTCGGCTAGCTCGGTGAGCTTGCCCTCGAAGTCCTCCTGTGGGTGTGGGTGTGGGTGGGTGTACGACGAATTCCTCGTTGAATATGTGGTTGAAGCGGTGAGCGACACATGAGGGGCGGAGCACGCATACCTTGGTGGCGATGTCCGACACCTCGTCCACCCAGTCGTCGATCTCCTTCACGGCCTCCCTCACCATCGGGCGCTCGACCTCGGACATGTGCTTGAGGAGGTTGGTCGCCGCCAAAATGTAATGCTGGAGCTTCTTCTTCTGCCGCCTCTTTCCCGCCTCCTCCTCCTCCTTCGCCTCGGCGGCGGCGACCACGGTGCCGATCTTCTCGGTGATCTCGGTGAGCTTTCCCTCGAAGTCCTCCTGCGGGTGTGGGGGTGGGAGGGGGTACGACGAATCCTCGTTGAATATGGGGTTGAAGCGGGGAGCGACACATGAGGGGCGGAGCACGCATACCTTGGTGGCGATGTCCGACACCACGCCCACCCAGGCGAAGATCTCCTTCACGGCCTCCCTCACCATCGGGCGCTCGACCTCGGACATGTGCTTGAGGAGGTTGGCCGCCGCCTTAGAGTACTGCAGGAGCTTCAACTTCTGCCGCATCGCAGCCTCTTCCCGCTCCCTCCTATCCCTGGCCTCGCGGTTTCCCAGTATTCCCAGAATCCAACCCCCCTCCCTGCACGGGATCAGCGCAGCCGTCTTGCCATCCGGCTGAGTGGCCGAGCGCGCCGCAACCATCGCCAGCGCAACCGCAAGGTGCACTGCCACGGGGCTGGCGGGGTGCACGCCGGCGTGCTTCTTGTTCTTGAACGAAAACGACACCTCGCCTTTCTTGAGGTCCACCGCGATTCCCCACGTGTCGTGCAGGTGCAGCTTGCTGTCCTGCCCGCCGACCCAGGAGCCGGAGTACGTGTTGTTCTGACCCGGGCGCAGGTCCTCCACCGTGAAGGTGAAGTTCTCGCTGCCGGTCCACCGCCCCCGCACCACCGCCACGTCGCCCCTGATGTCCTGGACGAGGAACGGCGCCCCGGGCCCCGGGGGCAGCACGTGCCCGGGGGTGTGCTGCTGCACGCGGGCGTACAAGGACCCGTCGTCGTCGTCGACGACGTCCAAGGTGGGGGTCCCTGTGCCGGTGAACCCCGTGCATCGCACTGTCAGCGCCGACAGCCACTCCGCCGTCCCCTCCACGCCGAACACCAGCTCGGACCTGCTCCCTCTCCAGATGTCCAACGTGCACGTCATGTTCTTCACAGAGAACAGCCCGCAGCACCCCGCCGCCTGGGGCTGCAACGTGCGGATGTCGGTGTCGGCAGGGGGCGCGCGGAACACCTCGGTCGGGTGCTGCCCGCGGTGCATCGCCCCCTCCCGCGCGTAGCTCTCGCCGTACGCAGCCTTCCACGCTGCCTGCGTCGCGTCCCAGCCGTTGATGAGCTTCGACCCTTCCGACCGGTCGTCCACGGAGTCGTCGTGGCCGAGCATCGTCCCGAGGAGCCTGCGCGTCTCGCTCGCGTAGAGCAGCGGGTGCAACTGGTGGCAGTGCCACACGAGGTCGATGTCGTACGTCGGCACCGAGAACAGCTTCGGCTCGGTCTTCGTCAGCAGAAGGAACTTCCGGTAACGCGCGAACGACTCCTTCAGGAACGCAGGCTCGGTGTGGTGCGGCAGGCTCAGCTGGTACCAGAACCCGGACTGGCGCTTGCACGCCGCGGCCAGGTCGCACGACGCCAGGGGGGCACCCCTGTCCTCCGTCTTTGTCGGGACGTGGTCAGCCACCCACGACCCGGGCCCGAACATTGCCTCCCAGAGGGGGCGCGTCTTCTTCTCCTTGCCCTCGATGTCCGCCACGTTGTGATCGATCACGCGCCCGAAAACACGCTGCGTGTCCTTCTCGTATGCCTTCGGGTTCAGCATGTGCGCGATCCACGCAAAGTGCACGTCGGGCGGGGGGCAGAGGCACACATCGCCGCGAGCGCCCGTCGTCGCGTGCTTCTTCATGAACGGCACCCACATGGTTTCGTACCGCTGCACTTGCTTTGCGAAAGACGCCGGATCAGGGGTCGTCCCCGCCGGCCGCACGCGCTTCAGAAAGTCCATGAAGCTCGTCACGTCCGACCGCTCGAGTGGGCACAGGCCCGACAAGCTCAAGGGGTCCGTCCTGATCTTCACCGTCATCTCCTTGTCGCTGAACTCGAGCCCATCCGCGGTGAGCGCGGTCTCAGTCGCGTTCGGCAGCGTCGTCACAGGCATAGTTATGTTCGGTATTGCGGTAGCGCCGCTCTTCGGCATCACGTACTACTCCTTGGGCGTCGGCCTCCACAGAGGTGGCGGCAGCGATCTGCTCAACAGCGGCTCAACAACGACTCTCAACAACGACTCGCTCACAGCGACTCTCACGACAGCGCTCGCTTTTTTGGGTCATCCTGTCACGCCGAGAAGAATTTTACACGAATCGAGAAGAAAATGAAAATTACGCAATGTAAGATCGATTCGTTTCTTTTCCAGCACGTGCCAGTTCGCGAAAGAAAAAGAGAACGCCGACATCGCAAGGGAAAAAGAAAGAAAGAATGAGCGCACGAACGCGCACCCCGGGGCCAGGGCTTTCTTGCCCGTAACCCGATGCCAATCATCCGGCCCGCTGGGTGCGCTTCTGAGCTCCCCGGCCCTGGATGTGCGGTTACTGACTGCACTCCAAGTGCTCCAAGTGCATGTATGTATGTATGTAGGAAGGTGAAGAACAGTCAGGCTCGGACTGGACACCAACGCGGTATGGGTGGACGCAAGACAGATGATGACGACACGCACGAGCGACACACAGACACAAACAAGCTCACGAGACACACAGCCAGCGGGCTGCCACACATCCTGAGTGGGCGTACACATCACTCAGGCCACGTCCCCCCTGTCGCCCCCCCCAGCACTCCAAGGTGCCAAGAGACAAACAACAGCACAACAACACAGACAGGCGACAGGGGCGAACGTGTGAGACTAGAGCAGGCTTGCTCCGCCTCTAGCAATCTCGTCGCCGGCCGCAAGGCACGGACGAGACCGTGTGTGGGGTCTTGTGAGGTGTCTATGGACGCCCTCCTCACAGGCTAGCGGCCAGCCGCCAGCCCTATCTCGCACTCATGGGTGACGACAGTTCATTGGATGAGTGGTTGCGAGCAGAGGCGCGTGTGCTGAATCTAGATCGCACGCCGTGGCATATGACTTGGGTAGGCGTGCGACCGCAGCGCGCCCGCCGAAGGCTCGACCGGGCGCGCGTGTCAGCCAGAAGTTTGCCAGTAGAGCGATCCTGGAAGTGCACCCCAAGGGAGGGATACCGGTAATGGGAGGACGGCACGCCGCCACCACACAGGCATTTTAAGGAGAGGAGTGTGGTGCATCGCAAGGGAGCGCGGTCCAAATTGGGTTTCACAAACATCAACTTCTCCAAATTCTGCTTTTTTCTTTTTCATGTCGCGCATGTGAGTGCTGCTCATTACTTGTGCCTCGCCAAGCGCTGCCTCGGGGGTGCCTGGTGGTGGTGGGGTGGCGCTGGGCGCGCGGCGTTGGTGCCCGGTGCGCGGTCTGTGTGTGCGCGACACGGGGAACGAACAGTCGCGCTCCCAATACGTGCATCACTTTTGTGACGGTGTTACAACTTTGATCAACCAGATCTCGATAACTACCATGTCGCCGCTCATGAGAAGTAGGCGCAATCGGGTA